GGCGCTGCACTTGCGGGGCACGTAGCTGTTAAGAGGAATGTCATGTTAGTTGTCTATTCTTCTGTGTGGTTTTGCAGGTTGTCCTGGGCATGTCCTGTGTCTGATGGCTCGCAACGATCTCAACCTCCGACATGGTCATTTCTTTTTTTTATTTGTGCGCTATTTTCAACTCGCTTTGCCATCTCTTTTGGGTTGGATCGAGGAATTGCTGAAAGTCGACGGGCCATCGAGGGTACAGGACACTGTGTATATTGGGACTGGGGTGACGGGACTGAAAGACATGGCACGTACAGATCGACGATCTCTCCCTTGTCGTTCTCCATTTTGGCGGGTTTGGTGGTGAGGTTTTGACGGGCGACGGTGAGGTTGGAGGTGGAGGGTTTTTCTGCCGCACATTAAATTCAAGACTCAAATGATTTGTGTGGGTCATGTGACCTTTTGTCGAGGGCTGGCGCCGAGGTGGAGAGCGGGTGGTGAGGCGCACCAATCACGGCTCGTGGCAATACAAGGCGGTGTCTTGCGTTCACAGTGTAAGGGAGTATCAATGGGTCAATAGAGGCTGGCTTCAGTAGACCTTAACCGTTATGCAGTAAGTTACCTTGTACATATATTCTAAAGGTTGCTCTTTCCCCGCTCTTCCTCAAGAATTTCCTTTTTCCACCCAACAGACACTTCTCTTGCACTGCCCTTCTTAAACCGCACAAGAACAACTCTATCAGATTCACCCCGCTTGTCTGACCCTTTCAATTCAGGCCCAGGTTCATCAAGAGCCAAGACCGCCCTCCCATCTTTATTCATCTGCATCATCTTTGGAGATATACATTTCTCTGTCCAGGGGGGAGATCCCGAATGCACAAACTCGACGAGCGCTTGACGGCGCTTCTCCATATCCGTAAGAGAAGCACCTGCCCGAGGCTCCTTATCCAGAAATCCTGATACCAAGTGCAAGAGAAGGAACTGTGGCGGGAACAGAATGATTTCTGCCTTCTGCGCACGGTCAATCCACGCCGACGCAGGAAGGAATTGCGCCTCTGTAACTTCAATGCCACCATCGCTAGTAGGGACTTCGAGCTCATCGCGTTCGCCCTCCGCGGGTAGTTCGGCGAGGAGCTTCTGGTCCACACTTGTGGGCAAGGGTAAGAAATATAAATACATCTGAGTAGTGTATCGCTTGGGGACATTGGTGGGTGTGACCCAACGTGTGAACGGGATCAATCGATCTTTGGTAGATTTAGCCAAGGCCTCACCTAGGAACACGAAATGGGTAAAGATGATTGGTTACTCACCTATATCAGGTTCCGCGTTCGCATCTTGTTGCTTAAGCCATTCGTCAAATGTGACCTTGCTCTGATGGATAACTTTCCGGCCTGCGTCTCGGGTAGGCTCGTCAACTGCGAGCATTTCCCCAGATGTCCGGTCAATCGCAAGGAGAATTCCACTCTCTTCGAAGAGCTCCCTGATTGCTGCACGTCTATAGCTAGGTGAGTCCTCGTGCCTTGCCAGATCTTCCGGTGGTGGACAGGGCCCATCTTGGCTGGATAGGTTGCCCCCGGGGAACACATGGGCAGAGGCGAAAGAGTTAGATGTGTGAACCCGATGTAGCAGAAGGATTTCATTCTTTGAGGAGACGAGTAGGACACTGATATAATTAATTATGTGCCTTGGTTTAACCACAAAGGGAGATGCGGCTGCATTTCACATGTCATGTAGGGGTGTCTTACCTAGAACTGGGCCGGGGTACCGCCGGCGACTTCTTCTGTCCGTCTTCCTTTGTGCGAGGCATCTTCGAATTTTGGATCTTCGCACTTGTGTCAGATGAATATGGTCTCGGTATTACTATAGCGTTCCAGCGTTGAAGAGACCTCGGCCGGATGTGAGATGCAAATGCGCGAAAATTGAGACTGGGAGAACTTCGATAGCCCAATGCATGCGTTAATTGACCGCTAAGATGTCGGAATATGCTCGACATCTCAAGATATTCAATGCCGAGGAAGAGACCCTGGTGTTTATAGAAGACAATGACCCGAGAGCCTAGGCTGTCCCCTGTTACCCCGCGTGCAACTTAACCACATCGAGTCTAGCCGAACACGGCGCCATGTGCAAGGACAACCACATCAAAGACCTCTCCTTGGGCTACTGTGCTGTACTGGTTTACAAGGGATGATATTTGAATGGAAAAAAAAAACATATTTGCTCATCAACTTAAATGGCGTAAATCTTCAAATCGTTAACTCCTATCCTTTAACCCTTTTTTATTTTCCAGGCCATATTTCATCGGGTCGGACCCGAGACATATTCACAACGAAAAAAGACCAATTAACTAGAGGATTGGATCTAAGCGTAAAGCTTCTTGTCGTAGGAGTGGAGACCGTGGACGTTACCCTCGGTCATAGCACTGGCACTGCGCATCTCGAAGCGGACGGTGCCGTCGTTGACACCCTCGTGCATAGCGCTCAGACTGGGGCGACCAATATCCTGCAAAGAGTGCTGGATACCGGTAACGAGGTAAGGAATGAACTTGGTGACGGAGCCACGGTCGAGGACCGAGCCAGCGACACCCTGGGCAACAAGGACGCTGGCCTTCTCGGAGAAGTAGCGAGCGGTACCAGCGTTGCTGGCCTTGCTGTCCTTGGCACCGTTGCCAGCCTTCTTGTCCTCCATGGCGGCGATGGAACCCATACCACGGTAGGCCTTGACGAGCTGACCCTCGTTGCTAACGTAGTACTCGCCAGGGGACTCAGTGGTACCGGCAAGGAGACCACCCATCATGACAGTGCTGGCACCCATGGCCAAACCCTTGACGATGTGACCAATGTTCTGGATACCACCGTCGGCAATACAGGGGACACCGAAGCGAGCGGCGAATGAAGCAACGCTGCGGACGGCAGCAGCCTGGGGACGGCCGACAGCCATGACTTCCTGGGTGATACAGGCACTGCCGGAGCCCATGCCAATTCTCAGGCCATCGACACCGGCAGAAATGAGAGCAGCAGCCTGCTCACGGGTAACGACGTTTCCGCCGATAACATCAATCTCAGGGAAAGTCTTCTTGACGTACTTGATCATCTCGATCTGGTACATGCTGTTACCCTGGGAGCTGTCCAGGATAACAATGTCAAGGCCAGCCTCAACAAGAAGCTTGAGACGGGTCTTATCCTCCTCACGGGTACCGATAGCAGCGGCACAGATGAGCTGCTTAGAGTCGGGTAGCTTGGAGGCGAGGGGGTAGTGAAGGTTCTTCATCAGATCCGAGCGGGAAAGCAGGGAGACAATGTTGCCGTTGGAGTCAACAATGGGGAGCTTGCCCTTCTTGGACTGACGGAGAACCTCGTTGGCCTCCTGCAGGGTGGTACCGGCAGGGGCAGTGACAAGATCCGTGGCCATGATGGCAGTCACGGGATCGCTGAGTTCACGGTGGAACTGGATGTCACGGGAAGTAACCATACCAACAAGCTTGGAACGGAGGGTTCCGTTTTCTGGGAGTCAACGTTAGCATTCTGCTGACAACAGCTGATGTGTGAAGACATAGTCAAAAGGATAGACAAAATTGCTCAGACAATATATCGGTTCTCTACAATGCGGCTTTCGCCGCTACAGTGGAACGAAAGTTATAAATTAAAGATGATGGGTCATCATGCAAGAGGGAGGGGATGGTGCTTTGGAGAAATTGAATATGATTTGACTTACCAGTGACAGGGAAGCCACCGAAGCCCCACTTGGCCTTGAGTTCCTTGGCCTCACCGACGGTAGCGGTGGGAGACAGGACAACGGGATCCAGGATGAAACCGTTCTCATATCTCTTGACCTTGCGGACCATCTCGGCTTGGTCCTGGGGGGAGCAGTTGTGGTGGATAACACCGAGACCACCGAGCAGAGCCATGTGGATGGCCATGTTGTGCTCGGTGACAGTGTCCATGGGGGAGGACACAAGGGGTGCCTTCAGCGAGATACGCTTAGTGACAGGGGTGGTCAGGTCAACCTCGTGCGCACCGAAGCCTATACAAATTAGTAATCGGTCTTTTTTTTTTTCTTCAATCGGCGCGGGGTTCGGCTTACCGATGTAACCGGGGAGGATCAGGAAATCGTTGTAGGTCAAAGCACCGTGCTTGTCAGAGTCAAGCAGGGTATCAGCGTCGAGACCATCGGAGGTGGTATAGGTCTTCAACACCTCCAGGGCGTTGGCATAGTCCTGGATCTCAGCCTTCATGGCGGCTCCGGGAGCGGCGTCGTTGGCGCTGATAGGCATTATGAATAAATGGATGGTCCCGAAAATAAAGAATGAGACACGACTCGGGAAATATTAATCAACAGAAAGAAAACGATCTGCTGATGGAGAAAGTCGGGCTTTCCCAAGAAAGAAAAAGAAGAAGAAAAGGGTCGAGCGAAAAATTGCATCCTTTTCTCTTCCGTGCACGGCCACACGATATTTTCGGCCTTACTAGACTAGGCTTAGCGTACCGGCTATAATCTGGTTATGGCTGTTGATTGGCTGGTAAACGAGGTTCTCCAGGGCGGTGAGCTGCTCAACGCGTGTGCAAGGTACCTGGACTATGTCTGCGTCTGGTTGCTTTTTCTTTGGATCTGATGTAACCCCTTCTCAATGCTTTTGGATGATGTCTTTTCAAGTAGTATAGATCATGTTCGGCCCCTTGAGCATGCACAATACCGCTCTTGGACGAAATGTATACTATATCCGCATATCCGGCAAACAACAGTAATGCTGACTGTAGTATTATCAATCTTTACATTGGGCTGAACAATTTGGGAACTATTTTTGGTTGACATGGTTGGCCGTACAACGATTGCAATCAGGCTTGGTGGCCACCGGATTCAATTCCCGTACGTTTCGCTGGAAACATGACGACTGAATGATAATAGCGTAGGGGCAAATAACTGTCGATAAAATCGGTATCTTGTCACCTGGAGACAACTCCTTAGCTTCATCATGTTCAAGAGAGAACCTTGGTAAAATCTTGTGACATTTACCAACTTATTCCAATATGGATCTGAATTCAGCGATGGGCGAGCATGGCACTTTCAAGCCTGCGCCAGAGGCACAGAGCCAAAATAAACCAGGGTAGAGGATATATCACCACCAGTCAAGCTCCAGGCTAATATGTGTATGTCCAGCTTGGAAAGCATCATGTCTTTGCCTAGCGAATCGACCAAATTGGAAGGCAGTGGCAGCTTCACTGAATATTTAGGCTCAGGCAAGCTGAAGAACAAGAATGCACTCATTACTGGTGGAGAGTACGTGCAATGCCAATCATACGCATAGCAGCTAATCATGTGTAGTTCTGGAATCGGACGATCGGTGGCCATCCTGATGGCAAGAGAGGGCGCAGATGTGACAATCGTTTACCTGCCGAAGGAGCAATCAGATGCAGATGAAACTAAGAGATATATTGAGAAAGAAAATAGGAATTGTTTGTTAATTCCAGGTGACCTAAGAGATTGGAAATTGTGTCTCCACGCAGTGGATGAACATGTGAAGAAGTGAGTTTGGAGTATGTTTCGCAGGGAGGGTAGGGCTAATTGTTGTTGTTTTAGATATGGCAAGATCAATATCCTGGTGAATAACGCATCAAAGCAGTACATCACTCGAGAATTTCCGGATATCGATCTAGACAACGTTGAGGACTTATTCCGAACCAACATAGTCCAAATGATTGCGATGACCAAGTTTGCGCTTCCTCACATGTCTCGGGGTGATTCGTAAGCTCTTATTCATTTCAGAGTGATATACAACATTGCTGATTTCTTGCAGAATCATCAACACTTCTTCTATTGTAGCCTTTCGTGGTTCGGGAACCATGATTGACTACTCTGCAACCAAAGGAGCTATCATCTCATTCACTCGATCGTTAGGGTCATACTTGATTCCCAAAGGCATCAGAGTCAATGCAGTGGCGTGAGCAATACTGTCCATTTCCGAGTCGTTGAATTAACTTGATCATTTCCAGTCCAGGTGCTATTTACACCCCAATTCAAGTCGACACCCGAGACTTCCAGCAAATGGAAGGCTGGGGTCACAAGGTTGGACTTGGCCGACCAGGGGAACCAAGTGAGGTTGCGACAAGCTTCGTATTTTTGGCCAGTGCGGATGCTACACTATACTGTGGGTGGTCAACAATCACCGGTGCCAACACCAGCAAACTGACTTGGTATTGAAATAGACGGACAAGTTCTTCACTGTTATCCGCTCGGAGACTGATAGGTGCTACAATGGGCTTTTCCTACGCTTCAAATAATTGTAAATGTCAGTGGTATCAAATTTTGTGGCATAGACAAAGCGTTTTCTTGTCTTTGGTATCAACTTGGATTGTAACTGAACATAAAATCAACAGAGAAGCCAAGGCTTCGCTCCAGTGAGAGCTTTGTCCCACCCCTCGTCATTCTGCCAAATGGCGACGCTCTCGACCTCTTCTCTACCCAGTCTCAGTCCATTGTAGAGATGCTTTTGTTTCCATGTTAGCGGGCGGTTAGCGTTAAGAGCTAGAATGAACTCACCGGGAAAAGTCCCTCGCCAGGTCGAAGACCGCTGACCTTTCCATCTGGGGATTCCCACTTGATATCTTGGATCACGCGGTGGTATTCTATGCGCAAGACATAAACAAGAGGTTCTTCAGTGAAGAAAGTCTTCAATGTATTTGGGACCTGATGCGCCTGGGAGAGGTGGATGTAGCCTGAGTCCTGGTCCAGGTCACTGACCGCAAGCCGCTCGGGAATAGGTTCACGGACCGGCGCGGTGGACGGCACAATCTTATAGATGTAACGGGGCTGTGAGCTGAGAGATGTCATGGTGAAGACAGTTTATTGAAGGAGGAAATGTCACCGATGTAATGACTTTTCCCAGTTGTTGATTAAGTTAGAGGGAAAATGTTTGTCAGCTGGTTTCATTGGGTCGTATTGGCGGGGTCGGTTCACCCGGCTCAACCATTGCGCAATGATTGCCTTGTATCTGCTAGTCGAAGGTGTTGGAAGGAACTGTATAGTTTTAATGGTCTACTTTGATGGGACAAAGAAGTTTGGATAAGAATATGCCTAGATTTTAAACCAACTTAAACTTCGTGGCTATATATATCCGTCATATAGGGCTTCAATCATCTGCCCATTGACTCGTTTCCCAGAGAATACGAGTTGGAAAACCCTAAGCGATATCATCGATCACTTTATCGGTATCGGAACCACTTGAACTAATTTATTTTGATTGAATAAGGCTGACCCGCAATTTGGCAATGATCGCAAGGATCGATTGGTGCCAGATGTACAACCCTGTATAAAGACCGAGCAATGTCATACATGTATATCTTTATTTCAACCCCAATCCCTAAATGAAGAGCATATGGCAGTAACTCTACCTATATGTGTTGTACAACATCAAATTGAGACGGAAGGAATGAGACTACAAGGCTGGTACCAGATGTCATGGTCGCACGGGACTACGAGGCACTAAAACTTGCCAAATCGAACACCAGCCACTGACGCCAAGGCTGCATACACCCTGGCGGTAAAGAGCGACATGGGCATTTTCAAAACTTGAGCATGAGCCAGGTGATTTTGAGAAGCTTGCCAGACAGGATCTGCTTCAAGATCGTGATACTTGTGCAGGGAGACTGATCAATTATTGTTATGGTCAGATGCACGTGATCCGAGATCGACAAGCCACAATCACCTGATGGCGCCATACCCGATCTGGAGATTTGTTGTGCCCCTTGAGCCCCGTTTTGGGGAATCTCAGTCGCACTTGCCTCTCCCCTCCCCCCCCACCGTCAACAAGAATCTCGACTACATACCTGTCCATTTCCCAATGCGAACTCACCCTTGATTTCATATCTCGGTCTCTTGGTATTCCCAATTTCTTTCGGTCTGAGACCTTGTTTGACCCGCGCATTCCGCTTGTTCTGCCAGAGCAGGGATGCGGTCAATCAAGCACAGGAATTCCCCATCGATTTCGCATACCCGCTTTCAAACTAAGTGATGTCAGCTCAATTCCCATCGCTCAAACGGGCCCAGACAGACTTCCCTGCGCAGTCAACCAGCCCGTTACGACAGGGCTCGACAGCGTCCACCAATTCATCTACATACTCTGTCGCATCTAGCTCATTCGCCCCGAGTCGAACTAGCACTGTCTCCTCTAATGCGTCCATATCAAACACATTGGGTCATTTGCGAGGGAAGAGTGAAGCTGGTAGTATAGGATCACAAAGTACTGTCACGGACGCAATGGAACGAGGAGCCTATTCCAATGCGGGTTCAGCATACGACAACATTCGCCGATCGCTGCGCCCACTCTCACAAGCGCCAAATGTATCCTCAAACCCGAGTACGGGGGGATATCGCCACTCGCGAAGCAACACACTCGATGAATCACATCCCTGGAAGGACGCTCGACCCAGCACACCGGAATCACGCCATGTCCGCCAGCAAGAGAACGAGTCTCCGCGTTACAGAGCCCACGCTCTCGAGACCAAACCATCTCCACCTGCATCTCCTCACCATTTTTCTCCTATTACCGGAAATTCAAGACCCTCATCTCCTCAAAAATCGCTATCGCATGGTCCCCCACAGCTGACCGCCCAGCTTTCAGCACCAGAGCTTGAAACACTTCAAAAATCATCAACTGGTCATCTGAGAACCCTCTCCAAATTTGCACAGTCAGGTGAAGGTGAGGATTTCCAATTTGGCTCATCGACAGGATCCGTAGTAGGTCTGCAGGGACGACGACGCTTGAAGCGCGCAGGCTCGGTAGCTGGAAGAAATGGCGCAATCTCTCCAGAGAAGCCGAAAGCTTCTTCATGGACGGCTGGCAACTGGATGGACCAGCAACGTCAGTTCATCCAAGCGTACGAATACCTGTGCCATATCGGAGAAGCCAAACAATGGATCGAAGATGTGATTCAAAAGCAGATTCCACCGATTGTTCAGTTGGAAGAAGGGCTTCGAGATGGTGTAACTCTAGCAGAACTAGTGCAAGCCATGTACTCTGGTCGAACCCTACGCATTTTCCGACACCCAAAGTTGCAGTACCGCCATTCAGATAACATCGCCCTGTTCTTCCGATTCCTGGATGAGATTGAGCTCCCAGAGCTGTTCCGATTCGAACTCATTGATTTATACGAGAAAAAGAACCTTCCCAAGGTCATCCACTGTATCCACGCCTTGTCCTGGCTCCTTTTCAAGAACGGGATGTTGGACTTCCGCATGGGCAACTTGGTGGGTCAACTCGAGTTTGAACATCATGAGCTCGAGAAAACCCAGAAAGGTCTCGACAAATCTGGTGTCAGTATGCCTAGCTTTGCAGGCATGGCAGCAAACTTTGGCGCTGAGCCTGAACCTGAGCCCGAGCCCGTCGAGTCAGAACAGGAGCGCATCGATCGAGAATTGCACGAAAGCGAAGCTGAGATCTGCGACTTCCAGGCCCAAATCAGAGGTGCGATGTTGCGATTGCGGCTTGGAAACACGATGGGAGATCTATGGGACTTTGAGCCCCTCTTGATTGAACTGCAGTCACGTATCCGCGGAGACTTTGCACGCCAGATCAGCAATTACCGACTCAGTATGTACCAGTTTGCAGTTGAGTTACAAGCAATCAGTCGAGGATTTGTTGTACGCTCTCGTCAACAAGGAGATCAGCAATGGCGCCAGGCCCAAGAGCACGGCATTTTGCAACTTCAGAGTCTGATTCGAGCGTCGAAGACACGTTCTCAAAGTGCTCTCCTGCAGACTCGCGTGCGACGAGAAGAGTCTGGAATCAAGCAATTCCAGGCCGCAATCCGAGGTGCGCTGCAACGTATGAACGTCGGTGATCAATACGAGCAATCTCGACAATCCCAAAACGATGTCACCAACCTCCAAGCCGCCATTAGAGGCGCATTGCAGCGAATGAGCGTTTCTTATGAATACGAACAAACTCGAGAAGCAGAAAGCAACGTGATAAAACTCCAATCAGCCATCAGAGGTGCATTGCAACGCATGAGCGTTTCTTATGAATACGAACAAACTCGAGAAGCAGAAAGCAACGTGATTAAGCTCCAATCAGCTATCAGAGGTGCATTGCAACGCATGAGCGTTGGGGACCAATTCGACGAGTCTCGGCAATCCGAAACTCAAGTCACATCTCTCCAAGCTGCCATAAGAGGTGTCTTATGCCGAAGCCGAATGAATGCCCAGTCGCATGAAGTCAAAAAGGTTGAGACTCCGGTCCGATCCTTGCAGGCTGTCATCCGAGGATCCTTGGCTCGCCAGCAAGTGTCTGACACCAAGGCTGCACTCAGCAAAGAAGCTGCTCAGATCACAACCGTTCAATCCAATGTCAGGGCCCTGCTAGCTAGAACACGCCACTGTCAATTGTTACAGGAACTGGCATTGACTGAGGATGAGTGTGCTGCACTTCAAGCTCTAGCACGAGCCGCTGCAATCAGAAAGAACACCACGGCCCTTCTCGCTCAGCTTGCTGAACACCTATCTCCCGTGATTGACCTCCAGGGTATACTCAGGGGACAGGCGCTGAGACAGTCATTGAACGAACAGAGGACCGCCCTCTCACAACAGGAACCAATAATATTGGACATGCAGTCTCGAATTCGAGCTATGATTCAGCGGAGCCACCTGCTTGCACAACGCAAGGAACTAGAATACGAGGAGCCTGCCATCATTGACCTCCAGGCCCTTGCTCGTGCTGCCATCTCGCGTATCGAAGTCGGTGACATCCTGTCTCATCTTGAAGAGAACGAAGAGGAGATTGTTCAGCTTCAAGCCCTGTCCCGGGCAATGATCGTACGAGTCGAAATTGGTGATATGTTGACAGATCTTGAGGCCGAGGAACACTTCATCATTGATCTCCAATCGCGTGCGAGAGGGAGTCTCATCCGCACTCAGTTTGAAGAACGGCGCCAGCACTATAACGAGAATATGGAGAAGGTCATAAAGGCCCAGAGTGTTATTCGAGGTCGGATCCAGGGCCAGGCTTACAAGAGCTTGACCAGTGGCAAAAATCCTCCTGTTGGCACAGTCAAGGGCTTCGTGCATCTTCTCAACGATAGCGATTTTGACTTTGATGAGGAGATTGAATTTGAGCGTCTGCGAAAGGCGGTTGTTCAGCAGGTGCGACAGAACGAGATGGCTGAGCAATACATCAGTCAACTTGACATCAAGATCGCTCTTCTTGTCAAGAATAAGATCACACTGGACGAAGTTGTCAAACATCAAAAACATTTCGGTGGTCACATTGGAAACCTTTTGTCCAACACCGAGATCTCCTCTAAGGATCCGTACGATCTCAAGGCCCTGAATAAAACCTCAAGAAAGAAGCTTGATCAATATCAGGTGTTCTTCTTCCTCCTTCAAACCCAGTCACAGTACTTGGCCCGGTTGTTTAGGCGATTGCGTGAGGTCAATACCTCGGATAAGGAATATGAGAGGATCAGGCACTTGATGATGGGTCTCTTCGGTTACTCCCAGAAAAGACGCGAGGAATATTATCTCATAAAACTTCTGTCACGGTCCGTGAAAGAGGATATTGAAAGTTTCACTTCGCTCCCCGAGTATCTGCGTTGCACATCCTTCTGGAACAAGCTTTTCGCTTCATATGCCAAGTCACCCCGGGATCGAAAATTCATGCGTGATGTGCTAGGAACTGTTGTGAAGGAGTCTGTCGTCGACAACCCGGATCTTGACCTGGAGAGCGACCCAATTCAAATCTACCGCTCTGCGATCAACAATGAGGAGCTTCAAACTGGCCAAAGAAGCCGTCGACAGCCCGATCTTCCCAGAGAGGAAGCCATCCGAGATCCTGAAACCAGAGAAACATTCATTCAGCATTTGCAAGACTTGCGTGATATTGTCGATCAATTTTTCCTTGGTTTCGAGGACTTCCTCTACCGAATGCCATTCGGTACCAGATACCTCGCACAGCAAATGTACCAAAATCTGCTCGAACGCTTCCCTAGCGAGGATCCAGGATTTATCCTCCAAACAGTCGGCCATTGGGTCTGGAAGAACTATTTCCAACCTGCTGTGCTAGAGCCAGAAAAGTACGGCGTCATCGACCGAGGTTTGACCCAAGAACAAAAGCGCAATCTAGGAGAAATCTCCAAGGTTGTCGCACAAATCGCCTCTGGAAGACTCTTCGGTGCCGAAAATGTCTATCTTCAGCCACTCAATACCTACATCGCAGAGTCAATTCAGCGCCTAGGCCGGATCTGGGGTCAGAGTAAGTTACCAACCACCATCTATTTGCCTTATAAATAGCTAACCAAAAATAGTGATCTCGGTCCAGGATGCAGAGACCTATTTCGACATTGACGAATTCAACGATCTCTATGCCAAGGCCAAACCGACACTGTACATTAAGATGTCAGACATCTTCTCGATTCACCAACTGGTCGCATCAGAGATCAACCACATGTGCATTCACCCCGAAGACTTCCTGAAAGACCTTGTCCGTGAATTGGGTAATGTGAAGAGTAACGAAAATGAGTTGATGGCCGTCAGCTCCACTGAAATTAACCTTACATTGAATCCCAAGCTGGCTCAAGTTGAAGGTAAGCATTGCACATTATTTTCTGTCTTTTCTTTACTAACTATCTTGTCAGACCCGGAAGCAGACATCAAAACACTCTTCATGGAGACCAAACGCTGTATTCTGTATATCATTCGGGTCCAGACCGGATCCAACCTGATGGACGTTATGCTCAAGCCACCAACGGTTGAAGATGAAGAGAGGTGGCAAACATTGGTGCACGAAGAGATCAATACCAACAGCCCTCGCCGAGGTGCCTACTCCGAGGCCAATAGCTTGATCGACATTGGATCCATGGGCTATGCCGAGCTCAAGGGTATCGCACTTGAGAACATTCTTCGACTTGAACAAAGTGGCAAGATCAACCGTCATAACCATTACCAGGACCTATTGAATGCCATTGCATCTGATATTCGCACCAAGCATCGTCGTCGAATCCAGCGAGAGCGTGAACTGGAAGGTGCCCGATTGACTTCTCAACGTCTCAGCGGCCAAGCTGTGTACCTTGATCAGCAGCTCAAGACGTACAACGACTACATCGAGCAAGCCATGATAACGTTGCAGAACAAAAAGGGAAAGAAGCGTTTCCTGATGCCATTCACCAAGCAGTGGGATCATCAGAGAGAACTGCAAAAATCCGGCAAGGTTTTCAAGTTTGGATCTTTCAAATACTCCGCGCGCACTCTGGCCGATCGAGGTGTTCTTGTCGCCTGGAAGGGCTATTCCGAGAGGCAATGGGATCGTGTCGACTTGACTATTTCTAGTAATGAAGTCGGTGTGTTCACTATTGATGGCAGCAGCGGAAACATGATGATTCCAGGCGCCAATGCACAGGTACCGCTGGACGACTTGCTGCAGGCACAGTTCAACAACACGCAGTTCATGGACTTCTTCGACGGACATTTGCGGGTCAATGTCAACCTTTTCTTGCACCTGATCATGAAGAAGTTCTATAATGAGTAAGTATTATGTCTTAAGGACTTGACGAGGGATGATCAAGGTGCACATTCTTATTGATATTATTATTCCTTTGTCTTCTTTCATTTCTGTTTACGATACCTTGGGTATTTTGTTGATTTTATAGCGATAGCGCTCGGTTGACCGGGCGAATGACATGTACACAGTATGATTCTACGCAAGATTCAATTATACAGGATTCAAAATTTAATCTTCCCATTTCTTCTACTGCCGAAAACTTCTCTCTTGCGGGGAACTTATAGTTACTCGAAGTAGGTCAGGGGCTGCCACGTGACGTGGCGCATCAATCGGGCCAGCTGGAATCCCATCCCCCTCCAACTGCCCTGCCAACAGTCCTGAGGGATATTGATCCAGTTCCTTTGCTGCTGTCAGCTTTCAATTACCTGCGCTTACTACTATCCACTTCTCCGCCGAAATATCATCCTATTTACGTGTTCCGACTGAGAGTCACCACACCCCTCGCCATGGATTTCTCCAATCTCAAAGACCAGGTCAGCAATATGTCCTTGTATGACCTCAAGGCCGGTGTCCGCAAAGTTCAAAATGGTATGTTTCGATTCCGCTTGGTCCGAATGCCCTCTGGCAAGACAACCAGCTTGTGTATCCCACCATGTTCGTTGTAACTAACATGACCGGTCTGCCGTAGCCGTTATGAACTATACCGAGATGGAATCCAAGGTCCGTACATGACAGCCCACCTTCGCGCAAAACACCTCGGCCAGCCTCTACAGCCCCGAGAGCTCGGAATAGAAACTGATGTGCGAAATAATGCTAACACGGATTAGGTTCGGGAAGCTACAAACAATGAACCTTGGGGTGCTTCGACGACGTTGATGCAAGATATTGCCAATGGAACGCATAGCTAGTCAGTTTTCTGCCTGGTGTCGTCTGATCCAATGCGCGTATGCTAATTATTGTGGTTACAGCCAATTGCTCAATGAGATCATGCCCCTGATCTACAAACGGTTCACCGACAAGGCTGCGGAGGAGTGGCGTCAAATTTACAAGGTATGGAAGACCCGACTGATTATAAGGGAATGTTCCCAGACTGACCATGTCGTTTCACGATCTATAGTCTCTCCAGCTGCTTGAATTCCTGATCAAGAACGGTTCCGAACGAGTTGTTGACGACGCACGATCCCACATGTCATTGATCCGCATGTTGCGGCAATTCCATTTCATTGATATAAACGGAAAGGATCAGGGTATCAATGTGCGCAACCGGTCCTCGGAGTTGGTTAAATTGCTAGGCGACGTGGATCAGATCCGCACCGAGCGCAAGAAGGCCAAAAACAATCGTAACAAGTTCAGCGGATTTGAAGGTGGAATGGGTGCTGGAATGAACAGCTCTGGCTCCGGCCGGTACGGAGGCTTTGGCAGTGACAGCATGGGATACGGTGGATACAGCGGAGGTGTCTACGGTGACGGTGGCGGCTTTGGCGGTGCATCCGGCGGCGCATCTGGCGGCGGCGATTTCCAGGACACAGGACGCTCAAATCGATTCGAGGAGTATGACGAATATGACGAGGGTGATGCAGCTCCCGCACGCTCGCGCGAACCTGCCAGTCGCTCGAAGCCCCCCGCGGCCAAGCCAGCGCCTGCTCCTGCTCCTGTAGCGGACCTCTTCGACTTTGGTGACGACGAGCCTGTCACCACAACCTCCACTGCTGCCGGCAAGCAGCCCGCAGGCAGCAGCATCAGCATGCTAGACAACACAGCCGACGACGATGATTTTGATGACTTCCAGTCCGCAACTCCCGCCGCTCAGCCCCAGCCGGCATCATCCAACTTCGGCATTGCACCCCCGGCTTCCACCGTCAGCACGACTTCCAATACTCAATTCGTTGCACCAAAGCCAATCTCAGCCTCGCAAGGCGCCGACATCAACGGCTTGGTTGGCTTCACATCGGCCACCCCAACCCCCTCCAGCAGCGGCTTCACTTCTCCCACCACATCCCAGCAACACAAGCCCTCAGGCTACCAAGCAGCCATGCCCAACTACTTCACTTCAGTCGCCAACAACAACCAGCAGCAAGGCTCTTTCTCCCACGCCTCTGCCCCCTCCATGTCCTCCGCGACCTCCCCAACGGCCACAGCCAACAAGCCCGCCAACCAGGCAGCCAAGAAGCCCGCCGGCGACGCCTTCGGTTCGCTCTGGTCCACCGCCAGCGCTAGCGCCGGTATTCAAAAGTCCAACACCGGCACAAACAAGGGTCCCAACCTGGCCAGCATGGCCAAGGAGAAAGCCAGCGCTGGCATCTGGGGTGCTCCGGCTCCATCTAGCTCTGCTTCTACGCCGAGTCAGAGCCAACACCAGCACAAGCAATCCAGCTCTGCCTTTGACGATCTACTTGGTTGATCTTTGAGCGTTGTAGCTTGTCGTGCCTTTGCCAATTGGTTTGTTTTCTTTCCTTTGCAAACTGAGTACATTCCATGCTCATTCCCCTCTATTTACGATCTGGGCCGTGATTTTTGAGCATTCATAATTCCAGAATTCTTCTCGTTACTGTTCTTGTATACTCCTCTCGATATTCTGCGTTTCTGTCCCAGGGCTCAATTCTCAATTCTCTTTCTCTTTTCTCCGCCCCTTAAAAGGAACCTCTGTCGATTCACAGAGAGTCAGCTGTTCAAGTTCTCCTTTTCACCTTTGTCATTCACCCTTTCCCAGTCTCAAAAGTAAAGATTCCTCTCGTCTCATACACTTGTCTAAGTGCTACTTTCTCGAGAGTGAACAAAAGCCTAGCTAGCATACCGTATTTGGTTTGGGAGGTATTAAAAGGAATCTCTTTGGCAGATCAATGCATAAACTATAAGATGCTATGAATGGGCATGGGCATGCTGAATAAACAAGACGCCTTGCCCTCCAGGGCTGGAGAACCGTCCCTGGCCTTTGATATGAACCAAAATAATATAGAATAGTATAGATTTGAATAGGCATTACGCTGATGCTCATCGATGCTGGTATAACGCCCGCGCTGAAGGAAGCTAAATACAGGTAGATAGATAGATAGATTGAGAAAACGCAGAGAGGGGATAAAAGGACGACGGAAGAAGGCAGAGCTGTATGAGTAGGAGTAAGAGTGAAGCCAGAGCAGAGATAAGGTCAAATGAGGGAGCTCGGAGTCGTAGTACCAAGAGAAATCAATGTCCTCTTTTTACTAACTTTCTCCCGATGGTACATTTGCCGGACAATGTATGGATTAGAAGAACATGGGGGTGCAATCGTGAAGACAAGGATATACGTTAGAAAGCAGACGTGGGGGATATTTCTTTCCTGCCCATCGCATGGTGGTGAGATGGAGAAAGTAGGTGGAAGATAGGATAAAAGGGGCAGTGCAGTTTGCGATGAAACGGACAAGCCGTTGATAGAAGCAAAGGGTTGGCCTTGGGTATGTAGAGTAGATAGATATCATAAAGAATATCAGAGGTAGTCCTCTGACCATCTTGGGTTAGGGTTGGATTGGGGATGTGGCGGGTAATCCACCAAAGCAAAGTGCTGAATATCTGTTGAAACGGCGCACAGAGCCACGAGCTAGTTTCATGCTCGAAACACTCCCATGGGAAGCGCGCGCCAAGCTTCGGCTCGCGGGGTTGCAACTTGAAACATCTCTGTGTGAGCCGTGCACGGTCGCCAATGGTCTGGATTGAGGCCAATCGTGGCTAACGGTCAGCTGCTTCAGGTCTTGGTCGACTTGCTGTTGCGTTTGCCGGCGTCTGAGACTGTTTCAGCTGAGGCGGGTTCGGAGCTTGCGCTTTCCGTTGAAGTGACAAGAGTGTTGCCATTTGTATTCTGGGGTTCAGACTGACAAGTGTTTCCGCCCAACGAAGGTCGCTCGGTCTGGGTTGGGGTGGAAAGTTGGTCAGACTCGTTGGTGTCTGCGCTCGATCCGGTGACCTCGAGACCCTCTCCATTCAGCGATGTTAGACCTCCTTCAATGTCTCGTAAGAGCCGCACAAATTCTTCTGGGACGAGTCCATTCTCGCCTGTTTTGGGGTCTTCGGCAACCAGCCAACCTTGGCCATGCCGATATGAAACGTAAATCACCTGGCCCTCAGTAAGAGGAAGCTCATTCTCGTGCTCTCGGGTAAAGTCGAACAGTGCGACAGCTTTTCCGTGCATTTCTTCGTCCGGGCAGCCGACGGCAAACTGGTAGTCATTGGAGTACCGGTCTCCACCTGGTATTTCATCTTCGGACTCAAAGCCGGGGTCATGTTCATAACTCTGTTGGCCGCTCGGGGCACTGTATCCCATCATAGAATACCGGCCCTCATTTGGCGGATATGTTATGTACTCCCCGCCTGGCCCGTCATCCGAGCTATCTCCATCATTCACATAGTAGGTCTCACTGCCGTCAGCGTTAATCCCAACGAGTGTTCCCCGATCATTATTTCCAGCTGACTGGCCAATTCCGGACATAACGCGCTCATCAACGAGACCATTCATGTCGGTAAGCCGTTTGCGATGGCGGGAAGTGACTACCGGGCTATGCAAGTCTTCATCTTCGCTATATGGCGGACCGTCTCCGAAGGACATGGCTGGCAACTGCTGGTGGCCATGATTGGTAGCTTCGTTTCCCCACTGAGCCGTTGACCAAGGTCCCCGCGAGGTATCCCATGAAGTCGGCGGGTCAGACAAGCGTCGGTATTCACTTGCCGGTGTAGAGACCCCGGAAGCGCGAGGGGGAGGAGGCCCATAGTGGAGAGGGTGAATCGAGGGGTAGGCAAAGTCCCGTACAAGGGCATACGGAAGACTAGTGTGGAATATGGGGAAGACATGGGAGCCTGGGCGCGAACGATTTTGTGAGGCGAACGAGACGTTGGAGTAGGTGGAAAGTCGATCCTTCGCATTCGTCGGCAATCGTTTCACGGTGCCATCAGTGAGGATGGGCGCTAAGCCAGCCACATTGTCCACAGATAGATTGTTCTGCGTAGATGTTGAGGAGGACATCGTGGTTGACATGGGGAGGGAGACCAAAAGTGGACTGAAGAGGAATATCGGTGCGGGTTCTCAGAGGAAATGTGGGGTTGTTCATCGATCGCGTGGGTGCTGCTCTAGTTTCGCATTGCGATTGATGCAGCTCCGTTCGGTCTGATGTGCAGTCGCAGAAAGCCGAGATCCTTCTGTTGTCCTCTAAATCCAAAGAAGAGTGTACCCTGAGATCGGAGACCGCAGATATTGAGTTCGGGCGCAATACAGCAGGCGCCAAGCAGGAATGCAATAGCCTCAGGGGCTGATTTCGTAAATCGCCTTGTTCTTTCACGCTCCAAACAAAGTCTCGCAGGGCCTCCAAAGGTATCGGAGTGGGTGGATGGATAATCGGCAAACGACACGAGGGGAGGGGGTCGAATGTGGCCCGAGTGGATATGCCGAACCGTAACAGTCGCACGACGAGGTATCAGCGTAGAGGATGAATTTGCGAGTATGCAAGTATGCGAATATGCGAGGGTTGCCGAGTGGAATGTCCAAAGCGTTGGATTGGCGAAATCGGAACCGTTGTTCCAGACGTTGTCCCGCGATCTCGAGGACAGGGAATTGCTAAATATAGCAGAAACTGCAGAAAGGACCAATGTCAGATACAAATGTAACAGAGGCACGGCGCTTATGCGGGAAACACAGTGCAAACACCACAGTGACAAGGATTAAGTCCCAACCGCCACATGGGAATGTCGAGGGAGAAACAGGCTCACGAGTCGGAGATTGCCATACCTGTCTAGTCTGAACTGGAGTAGTGATCAGCGCGTAGTTGATTCTGGATCGGGGGTCTCCTCAAGAGAATAGGAGGCAATAGCCGAGACCGATTTCAACCACCAAATCAACGGATATGCAGGGCCGATGCTCGAGAGTCACTGTGAATTGGGGAATTGAAGCTTGAACACTCACAGCCGCTTAGATAAGCAGTTAGCGTGTTTCAGGTGTGGTTGGAGCTAGTCCCGATTAGGTCTCTTGTCTACAGTTGCAAGGCGAAGAATGAGGATCATAGATGGCCGATGTCAAGGTGACTTGAGGGGGAATTGGTTCTATGAAACATAAGGCGATTGTCGATCGACTACAACGATGACGGTATACATATCTGTACAATGGAATTGTCTAGATTGATACTATACTAAGCAATTCCCTCAATTACCCGGCTACAAATTCAACTCTATATAGACCAACAGTAAGATAAAAATGGGTATCATATTGATGCTATCTTAAAGTAGAACCAACCTCCAGGGCTGGTCCGTGCAATTCCTCTCCTGCCACTGAAACAGTGGTCAATATCCAGGAGGAAGTCCGGTCGCAGTATGGATTTGAGTAACAGTAACAGTCCTCCACTCGGTCACAGCCGGCATGATGGGTGTGGGCACACTGCTTACCACAGAAGAAGGTATCTGGGAGGACTGCTGCGAGGATTGCTGCGAGGGCACCGCCTTGCCAAGCGAATCAAACTGAGAAGGAATGGCAGCATTGTTAAGATCCTGATCAGTCTCATAGTCAGAGCTGACTCCCAGCTTGTTGTTGGTAGCCTGCACAATATCCACATCCATACAGGTAGTGTAGATCTCTTGCTTTCCCTTCGGGTAAGTGGGATCGATACCCGGCTTGGTAGGCCAGTCCCAAACCCAGTAGAGAGTGTAGGGCTTGCCGGTGGGTGCATTGGCTGGCAAACGGAGATCCTGCTGGCACCAGAGATCAGCTCCCATCAGCTGATTGGCAGTGTGGGCAAATTCTTTCTGGCGAGTCTGAGAGATGCTTTGTCCGTTGATTTGGTAGCAGCGGCCGTCGTCGAAATTCTGTTTTGACAGAAGCACACCGCGCTTGTCACCACCTGTGCCATCTGAAGTCCATTTTCCGTGCACATCCAGAAGCTTTTCGCCGACTTTGGGCTGGGTGGTCCCATAGACATAGACGTAGCCACGATTCTTCGGTTTTCCGGGTTGATTCTCGGGGAGGGTCACATGGCCGTTTTCTTGGTAGCGGAGAGCAATAGATGCACCAGGGCTCGCCTGAAGTCGGGGACTTCCGGTGGTTTGAGTCTCGTCTTGCTGTGTCTCTCTGCATAGTTTGTTACTTGGCAGGAGCTGGGTGACATCCTGTCCGCTGGGAGGAATCAGGTAGGTCATTGTATCGACGAAGCCCGCCGTACGAAGAACATTGCCTCGGGAATATCCAGGGTTGCCGATGAACGTTCCATTGGGCGCAATGACTGTGAGTTGTTCTACCCAAGAGTGGGCGTTGACTGAGAGGAATTGCAGAGCAAAGAGCACGATCCAGATGACGGGAAACGCCATTTTGAAGAATCGAAAGTGTAATTTCTCTTGGTGAGAATGGTGGTGAGGATGGAGAAATCGGCGATGAAAATTTTCGAGCGCACTGGTATACAGTGTTGTTTTGTTATCGGATGAATAGAGACTCGTCCAATAGAGTTGAATAAGGTATATGTGTTTATAGTCGAGGACACCAGGTCGCAGCAGGTAACCGCCTTTATGTAGTATTGTCTCTTGAGGACTGAACCAGTGGAACAAAACACTTTGTGAAATGGGCAACAAAGGGTTTCATACTTCATGGGCCACTCAATCCCATGGTGATATGATTAGGCACTTGGACGTCGAAACAGAAAACAAAGGAAGTTTCATTGACGGATTGATCCCCAAATATAACAATATGTATTGGATGACAATGAGGACAAAGGACAAGATTCTAGAACTTGATTTCCAGAGGAATGTTGCAAATATAGGACATATTGTTCGGTACGGGGCATTGTCGCGCCTACATGGAGGCTCCAAATAGTCTGATACAGACCAGAACTCACTGGTCACACTTCAAACAAGCAGTCTGCTAATAGACTACCATATGAGCCCCATGTCATTTGGCAGCATCTAAATAAAGTATGACAGGGGGCAGTGATTGGGTGAGAAGGCCAGATGCTCGAGGCCCGACTCTGCTTCAGATGAGTAGGTCGGGTATTTTTGTGCATCAGACATGCCCAGTCCCGCACCTCCTGGCGCGTAGCTGTTATTCAGCCTTTTGGCATTTCGGGAGATATTCGATCGTCACTGAAACTATGTCGCGAATCTGCAGCTCAATCGGGCCAGGAAGCACGGCTATTGGCTGGCGAGGGACCCCTCGGCGCTTCGCACTCGGTCCCAAGGATCCTGCAAACAAATTAAAGCGCTTTGACAGAAGGAAAGATGAATAAAAACGGAGACTACAGTAGAAACACCACTTGCACTCATTTCTACTTCTCCGACTCAGGACTCTTGACTTGGTGAAGTTATATGGAAAGGAGTCCTTGCTTCAGGTGCTCCCCACCACGCCCGACGTCGGGGCACTACATCCTTCCATGTTGGGAATAGAGGTTAGCAGAAGTGAACAGAGGTGAGCAAAGGTTAGGGTTGTTAGTCACACCTGTGTGCCTCCCCATCCAACCTTGACAGGTGCCACTACGTTGTGGTCGCTCGGGGCTCGGAATCCGTCTACGGAGCAGTTTGCCCGAGTTAGGGCACTCCGACATCGATCTTATCTTTTGCTGTATTTCTCTGCCAAGCTCGGTTACCGAGCTCAATGCTGGATGGAATGGAGTCTGCACCGGGTCAGCCGGAGCTGATTCGACTCAAAAGTTATCTGATTTTTATCTGATTTCTCCGACTCCACCCGGTGGGTTCCATCTCGTTGGCATGAGACAATTTGGTGGGTTCTTTTTCGTGAGGACTCGCGGACGGGGACCGACTTTTTCTTCTCACTTTCCTCTTCCGACCAAGGTGGACGGAGTAGCCCGCACGTTGGGCTCGGTGGTCTTGGTGGAGCTGTTGATCCCAGATTATGCGAGACGTCCTCGTCTGAATGTCCATGTTCATGGACATTTACCTGATGGACGGTTACTCAACAGACCAGTGTGACCATGCTGCGAGGCAGACCCCCCCCCGTGCCTCCCGGTGAACAGAATATGTACGGCCGTACAGATATTGGCTGCATGGTGATCAAAGAAGTCAATAATGCACCTCTCCTTTAAGCCTTGGCTATTTAGTTTGGGAGGGTCCAATCATTGTCTCCCGTCCTTAGCCACATACCAACGGGGATTCTTTGGACAATATTACCCAAGGCACTCGTGTTACATTGTGCGTCATATTGTTGTGAAGATTCTGTGACTATTGTTCTTGCAATCCCAAATCCTGTTCTTTTATAATATATTCCCTCGACAGAAATTACTTAGTGGTCCAAACTGATCCAAACTGGTCCAAACTGGGCTAAATTACTCGCCTCCACTGTGGCTTGGCGACCCGTCGGCAATACTTAATTCCAGGTCGCGGCTTCGGAGGCCGACTATTATTTTGCAGCCTTCAGGGGGACTTTCCGCTTTTTCTCCAACTTTCGAGGGGCCTTGAATTTCCTCCCTACTTGCTTCCGGTGTGTTTTCTTCGGTTACTCAGTGGCTTCGTGAGTGCAACTAACAAATTGAATAGTTCCCGTGGAAGGAAAAAAAAATATAGTCGTGAAACAGCCTCCGTGAACATCTCGTGTGAACGACACGAGGACTGCCGTTTAGGCCACCCCACGACGATTCCAATTCCGACACTGGTTTTGGTGTGAGCAAGTCACCCGGCGACGGCTATTCTCGCAGGCTCTGGTCCCTGGGGACCGTCTTAAAAACCATACACGCCTTCAACAGACGTCTCACCGCCACCTCCGACTCGTCACCATGGCCACTTCTTTTATTTCCAAACGACTTCGCTCCAGTGAGGAGGAGAAGCAGGTTGAGCCTAGCTGGCTCCGACGCCAGATTGTCTCTGGCCTCCAGTCAATCTCTCGCCGTGCCTGTGTACACCCCATCCACACCATCGTGGTGATTGCCCTACTGGCCAGCACAACCTACGTGGGTCTCCTCGAAGGCAGCTTGCTGGATACCGTCCGAGACCCGCGCAGTGTTGCTGGTCAGGTGGATACCGATGCTCTTCTCCAGGGAAGCCGCAATCTGCGCCTCGGCGAGTCCACTTCGTGGAAGTGGCAGGCAGAGGATGCCTGGACCGACTCCGAGGTAAGCGGCTACCGCTTGTTATTTTACGTGACACCAATGACTGATATAATGATGTAGATTGAGAAGCCCGCGGCCCAACACCTTGCCTTGACTACCTTGATTTTCCCGGATTCGACTTCTGCCGTTTTGACTGCTCCCGCCTCCGATGATGTGCCAATCCCTGCCAATGTCTCCGCTTCTTCAGTCCCATACACACCAAACCTCTTCTCGCAGTTCACCCACGACTCTGCCCTGGCTTACACTGTGCCTTTCGACCAAGTGTCGGAGCTTCTGAAGGCAGTGCAAGAGATCCCCAACCCATCCGCGGATGAAGAAGAGGAGTCTAAGAAATGGATCATGAGAGCTGCTCGTGGCCCCGCATACGGATCCCGCAGAGCTGTGAAGCTGTGGTTCGCAGACGCGTGGGGTTCATTTGTTGATCTGATCAAGCATGCAGAGACCATTGACATTGTCATTATGGCTCTCGGCTACCTCTCGATGCACCTCAGCTTTGTCTCTCTCTTCTTTTCGATGCGCCGGCTGGGATCCAACTTTTGGCTTGCGGCTACCGTGCTTTTGTCTGGCTCCTTTGCATTCCTCTTTGGTCTGCTGGTAACCACCAAGCTCGGTGTGCCCATTAACCTCCTGTTGCTTTCCGAGGGATTGCCCTTCTTGGTTGTTACCATTGGATTTGAGAAGCCAATTATGTTTACTCGGGCCGTTTTGAACGCCTCCGTGGATAACCGCCGACCCCGTCCCGGTGCTGCTCCTCGCCCGTTGGCCTCGAGCACACCCCGGTCTATCCAGGAGTCCATCGCAGCTGCAATCAAGGACCAGGGTTTCGAAATTGTTCAGCACTACTGCATTGAGATTGGTTTGTTGGCTCTGGGTGCCGCCTCTGGTGTGCAGGGTGGTCTCCAGCAGTTCTGCTTCCTCGCGGCTTTGATCCTGTTCTTTGACTGCGTGCTTCTCTTCACCTTTTACACCACCATTCTCTGCATCAAGCTCGAGATTACCCGCATCAAGCGTCACGTTGCTCTGCGCAAGGCTCTAGAGGAGGATGGAATCACTCACAGTGTCGCCGAAAATGTTGCTTCTAGCAATGATTGGCCTCGCGCCGGCTCTAGTAGCAGTGATGCCGACACCAGCATCTTTGGACGCAAGATTAAGTCTAGCGCCGTGCGTCGTTTCAAGATCCTTATGGTTGGCGGTCTTATTTTGGTCAACGTTGTGAACATGTCTGCTATTCCTTTCCGTAACACTGGCAATGGTGGTCTCCTCTCCCGCTTCTCCAGTGTCCTGTCTCCTACCCCCATTGATCCTTTCAAGGTGGCCGAGAACGGTCTGGACAGTGTCTATGTTGCGGCCAAGAGCCAGAAGCAGGAGACCATTGTCACCATTCTCTCCCCCATCAAGTACAAGTTGGAATACCCCTCGATCCACTACGCCGCTCCCACTGAGTCCAGCTCGTTTGACATTGAATACACTGATCAGATTTTGGACGCTGTGGGTGGAAAGGTTCTGGAGAGTCTCCTCAAGAGTGTCGAGGACCCCTTCATTAGCAAGTGGATTATCGCTGCTCTGACCCTGAGCATCATTCTCAACGGTTATCTCTTCAATGCTGCTCGCTGGAGCATCAAGGAACCCGAGGCTGCTCCGGCACCCGTGGAGGTCGTTGCTGCACCCAAGGTCTATCCCAAATTTGAACCCAACGAGGAAGTGTCTACTCGTACTTCTCAGGAATGCGAAGCTCTTCTGAAGGAAAAGCGTGCCCCGATCCTTACTGACGAGGAGCTGATTGACCTCTCTCTCCGTGGAAAGCTCCCTGGCTATGCTTTGGAGAAGACCATGGAGGACGAGAACCTGATGAGTCGTGTTGATGCCTTCACTCGTGCGGTCAAGATCCGCCGTGCTGTTGTCTCCCGTACCCCTGCTACTGCTGCTATCACTGCTGCTTTGGAAGAGTCTAAACTCCCTTACAAGGACTACAACTATGGTCTCGTGCACGGTGCTTGCTGTGAAAACGTCATTGGTTATCTGCCCCTTCCCCTGGGTGTTGCTGGTCCCATCAACATCGACGGTCAAAACTACTTCATTCCTATGGCTACTACCGAGGGTGTACTCGTGGCTTCCACCAGCCGTGGTTCCAAGGCTATCAACGCTGGTGGCGGTGCTGTGACTGTCCTGACTGGCGACGGCATGACCCGTGGTCCCTGTGTCACTTTCCCTACTCTGGCTCGGGCTGCCGCTGCCAAGGTCTGGATCGATTCCGAAGAAGGTCGCAGCATCATCACTGCTGCTTTCAACTCGACTAGTCGCTTCGCCCGTCTCCAGTCTCTGAAGACTGCTCTTGCTGGTACCTACCTCTACATCCGTTTCAAGACCACCACTGGTGACGCCATGGGTATGAACATGATCTCCAAGGGTTGTGAGAAGGCTTTGGATGTTATGTCCAAGGAGTGTGGCTTTGATGACATGGATATCATCTCGCTCTCTGGTAACTTCTGTACTGACAAGAAGTCCGCTGCCATTAACTGGACTGATGGTCGTGGTAAGTCTGTTGTCGCCGAGGCTATCATCCCTGGCGACATTGTCAAGAGCGTCCTCAAGAGTGATGTCGACGCGCTTGTTGAGCTCAACGTCAGCAAGAACTTGATCGGAAGTGCCATGGCTGGAAGCTTGGGTGGTTTCAACGCCCACGCCTCTAACATCGTCTCTGCCATCTTCCTGGCTACTGGTCAGGATCCGGCCCAGAACGTTGAGAGCAGCAGCTGTATCACCACTATGAAGAAGTAAGTTATGTCACCTACATTTTCGCAATTGATCCTAACGACATTACAGCAACAACGGCAACCTCCAGATCGCTGTGTCAATGCCTTCCATTGAAGTCGGCACTATCGGTGGAGGTACCATCCTTGAAGGCCAAGGCGCTATGCTGGACCTCTTGGGTGTCCGCGGTGCTCACCCTACCTCTCCCGGTGAGAATGCCCGCCAGCTTTCTCGCATCATTGCCGCCTCTGTCCTGGCCGGTGAGCTCAGTCTGTGCGCTGCCCTTGCTGCTGGTCACCTCGTCAAGGCACACATGGCCCACAACCGTAGCGCCGCACCCACACGGTCCTCCACTCCCGTGTCTGCTGCCGTCGGTGCTGCCCGTGGCCTTTCCATGACCTCCAAGTAAACGAAGACAATATGACCTATTCCTCCCAGCCCGCACTTGCGGGCTTTTGTATATGTGTGGCCCATGAACCTCCGCATACCATTTTTCACGATGCAGAACCTCTTTTTTTCTCTCTCACACACATACACAGACACTCTCTCTTCATGGCGATGCTTCTTGCTCGCCCTGTCTTTCTGCATTATGACACCACCTCCTAGTCAGGAATCGTCTACCAAAGCTGCTCTACAACGAAACAGCCGATGCGATTTCTTTTCTTTTCACGAGGGGGGGGATCAATGATCCTGACGAAGCAGGGACATGGGAGTCCCAAAACCTCACGCTTCAAGTAGTGACACTGTCCTACATTTGTGTACTTAATGTTCCCTTTTTCATGATAGACATTTCGGGTTGGAATGAAAGAATTCAAAATTTTTTTTAATCAAAAAGCAGTGTGTCCGTCAGTCTTCGTAACGGCCAGCTCCAGTAGAATTAATACGGTGTACTGCACAGATACCCAAGTGAATCACCTGATTGGTACACTAATGGGGCCGACGGGCCTAGATTCTCTTCTCCCCTTTTTTTCCCTTTCGCTTGAAGATTCAGGGGGAAGAGAAGAATACCATGGGAAGACTAGATATCAGTGCGAAGACTCACAACTTATCTGATCTGTGCCCAGGGCAGAATATGTACCTCAGCCCCCCTGGTGTGGCTGTTCCCCCAGGGAGTATACCCAGGTACCGTTAGTGCATAGCGTACTCCGTACTGTATAGCGGATAGGATCAATACGAGACCGAGTACGGTATAGGAAGTAATGCCCGGTGTGGCACAGTGAATAAATAGAGATCAACCAAATCACATCCCCTGCATACCCAGTGATACAAGTGAATACTGAATTGCTGTAAGGAGCGGGTCTCAAAAGTCCGGAGTCGACGGACCAAATCACACTTTCTATTTCTCCTCTTCAGCTCTCCTTCTCTTTCTCATCTGCCCCATCGCAACCCGGATTGTCTCAGATTCTCATCGTGTGGAGAACACAAAAACACGGGGACACACTATCGAATGCCTTGATCCGCCCCCCTGGGATACAGTCAAGAGCCCGGACTCTCGCCAATTCGACCCTGATATGAATGGGGGCTCGGGAGCCATGTCGCCAGTCTCCGTCGATGGAAGCGACTGGTCGGGGTTGAACCAGTATGGGAAGTCAGAATCCCCATTCTCACCAACATTCCCATCGTCTCGCGCCAATCTAGCCACACCCCCGACCTCCGGCGTCCCTAGCGCACCTTTAAGTCCCAACGGCGGTCCTCCATCGTTATCCCCTTCGAACTTAAGCAGCAACCCATCCCCTCCCAGCTCCATCGCCGCCAGATCCAGCGTGGGCACAATAGGAGGAGAACCCGCTCCCCGAGATGGACGACGATACCGCCAGATGGAAGAGATACTGGGCCAACACTATGTTGTCCTCCGACGATTCCTGAACGGCACAGCCCGTGAAGATAACAGCAAGCCAAACAAAGCCCGCGACAAACTACTACGCCTATCTCCGACCCAGTTTCACGAACTGTCAACAGATGTATACGATGAATTGATCCGGCGGCAGCAGGCCATGCCCCCGCCAGGACGCCCTCCCCGGCCAGACGTACCCCCCTACCTCCCATCGCGCGCCGACTTTCACGAAAAGCGCAACCACGCCCGCCAAAAGTTGGCCGCACTGCACCACCAGCGCTTCCGCGACCTCGCAACCGATGTCTTCTGCGAGCTGGAGCGTCGCTTTCCGCACTTTACCAGCCGGGAATTTCGAGCACGCCCGCCTCCAAATATGCCGCCAGGCTCGCGAGGTTCACAGCAGTCGAGGGGGCCTCCCTCGCGCATGGGTCGGGGCTATCCGTCTGGTGGACCGCCGGGAAGTCCGTTCCCACCGCGTGGTGGTTCGGTTGGCGGATCGCCTGGCGGGATGAATGGGGATGGGCCGTTCCCTCGGTCTTTCCAGAGTAATACGATGGTTCCAAATAAGAGTACTATGGTTGAGGATAGCGATGATATGGGCGGGGAGGACGAAGACGATGCTCGGAGTGATGCGTTTGCGTTAGATGCTGTGTTGAGTCGTCGGGGGACAACAACGACGCTGGGAGATAGTGAGCGGAAGTTGTTGTTGGAGAGTCAGTCGCAGGTCTCGGCTTTGCAAGATAAGATTGAGAAGTTGGAAGAATTGGTTCGCTCCAAAGACGAGGAGCTGGCTCAGTCGTCTCAGGATGCCGATTCCTCTGGGATCAGTCACAGCGAGCGACAGGAATGGGATGATTTGCGACAAGACCTTGAGAGTAAGGTGTCGAAAGCGGAGGATCTCAATAGTTCGCTTCAGCTTGAGCTTGAGAAGGTTCGGACGGAGCATGATACGATGGAACGTGACCTTCGCAACCAGCTCGAAGAGTCTTCTCTCAGTGTCGAGGATGCTGAATTGCAGTCGCGGTACGCGGATCTGGAGAATCGGCACCAGACTCTGCAGATAGAGCTGCAACAGCAGCGGCAGGTGACCGATGAGGTCAAGCGGGAAGCATCGGTGTTCCTCATGGAAATGAAGACCCTCACAGCCGAGAGCCACGAAAATTGGGAACGCGAAGAGCATCTCTCCAACGAAGTCCACAGACTCGAGGCAGACGCCAACGAATGGAAGCACCGCTACGCCAAGGTCAAGGCCCAGCTACGACACCTCCGTACATCATCTGGCGGCTTCGCCGACTCCAGACCCGACGCAAGCGTCTTTACCAAAGAGCACGAACTCGTCCAGGTGGATGGTGTGGTCAAAGATGTTCACGTTACTAAATTCCAAATGTCGGTCGACGAACTTTTGCGCGCTGCCCGATTCGAAGAACCGCGCATTGTTCTCCAACAAATCAAGGCGGTTGTCGTGACCGTCCGCTACATCCTTCAAGACGTGGACCAGTCACCAATCCCCGTGGATGGCACAGCAGCGCAGCGTATCAAAGCGAAGAACCAGGCATCGAGCACAGCAAACAATATGATCACTGCCACGCGCAACTTCGCCAGCTCTGGCGGTTTGTCTCCGGTGTCTCTCCTCGATGCCGCAGCTTCCCATCTCTGCACTGCTATCATTGAGTTGATTCGCATTGTGAAGATTCAGCCTTCGCCTGCAGATGAGCTGATGGAAGAAGCTGATGAGGAGATGGATGTTTCGCAAACGCAATTCCCTGACTACTTTGATACGTCTGCTAGCCAGAAGCGCATGAGCAATAACTCGGTCTACAGCGCTATGAGTCGGCCCGACGAGTCCGAGTTCCCTGCTTTGCAGAATGGTTATACTAATGGTGTCAACCATGATGGCTGGGGTGTGCCGCAGGGTGACCACGAAGTATTGGAATTGAAGGTAAGACTTCCAATGCAAATCTAAGTATACCCATACTGACTATTGATCCAGCTCCACGTTGAAAACCAAACAGACGGCATGGTCCAATCGATCCAGGCACTGGTAGCCAGCATCCGCGCCGGAGACAAACTGCACACAGTCCAGACGCATGTCAATGACATTTCAGGCGTCGTCGCCAACGTTATCAACTACACAGAACGGTTGGTACGCGATCGCAGTGGCGACATCGCTCTACAGCAGACTTCCGAACCTGTCATTCACGCTTTGGAACAATGCCGTAACAGATTGGTTGCCACTGCTGAGGAGGGCCAAGATGCCACAACACCCGAGGAACTGCGCGAGGTCACGAACAAACTTCCGCCCATCGCTTTTGAAATTGCTCGCGAGACAAAGGATCTCGTCCAGCGTCTTGAGTCCATGTCCTTGGCGACTGCTGACGACGAGGACGATGATTTCCGGTGATCTTACTCGACATGATTGCCATCTCTGAATGCATGTAAATGTAAATGTGCATGTACCATACCCCATATTCCATATCCCATGTCCACATTCCCAATCCACATCCACCTCCCACCAATCTTACTCCATTTTCTTTGCCTACTTTTCAGCGAACATTACCTACGGTAACGAGTGGACAATGTCGAAACGATGTCCCGACGCGTCAGGCATTCATATTCATGGTTTCTTTTCGTTTCACCCTTTTCCATTTCCCGGCTGCTTGTGTGCTTCCCTTTTCTCTCTCCACCCACCTCTTTTCCATCTCATTCCTATTCTATGTACTTTATTTCCAATCCTCGCCCTTCCTCACTGTCATCTGTGTGAAGTTAGTTGGTGTGTTATTTTCTTGCATTCTGCGCTCGTGCAGATGAATGAATGTCTACTTGTTCCTTTGACTCTGTTCAATCCACCTATATCGATCAATAGACCCTACACTATAACATTACACCCTTTAGAGGCTAGACCAAGAAACAGCGAACTCGATTTCCTCAATGTCCACACACAGTCTCGCTAAATCCAAGGTATTACTTGCACGGTGCATCCCAGAACCGAGGACCTGAACGCTCTGGAGCCCATTCTAGCAATAGGCCTCTGCCAACTTAAGGTTCTCTAGTGGGGAATCTAAACCGGTTCGGATCGATCACTGTAGGATGACGAGCACCAAGTCCCAGATTGGCATTACAGTATACTCTTTTGTGAGGCATTTATGCCATGACGGCATTAGTGCCGCTTGGGCCCTCCTTATTGGAATCCTCTACAGTGGGCGGAGACTAGAATAAGTTTGTTGGTATCATCTTGTATCTGATCGGGTTACTTGCTATGATAGTCCTGGACAGGGCTTTGCGACAGATGCGGCAGATATGAAAACCTGGGAAAAACTTGCATTTCACGCGGGGTACGGTGATGTAGTCCGGGCGCGATCCAAGTCCTCGAATCATCGGACACGTGGAAACAAAAGAGAAAAATCCAATTTCGGGGCTTTTCTATTTTGGGCCATTTGGCGGATTTCGTGATTTCTGGTGGATCGGTTGAGGTGTACGAAGTACTCTGTACGGGTCTTGGGGTTGGTGGTTCACTACGTGGGCTGTGGGCTGTGGGCTTATACACTACGAGCTCTCTACACGGTTGGAAAATCATTTCCCTGTCACAAAGGCATGTATGACTAGTTCAGTGGTCACTCTAGATTACAGTGCGCAAAGGGGGAGCCACCTTGGCTAGTTCCCAGGCACAGCGTGAACGGGGACAGGACTAGGTCCTTGGGGAAAAAAAAAGAAAGACGTCCAGGCTCCGAACCTCCAATTAAACCTCCAGTTTGAGCTGTTTACTGACCACCACAGCCAACGATGGTAGGCTTGGTAGCGGAGCGGATGGAGCCGGAGGAGCTGCCGAGAGCCTCGATGGCCTTGACAACCTTCATGGACTCATCGTCAGCGACCTCGCCGAAGACGACGTGCTTACCATCGAGCCACGAGGTGACAACGGTGGTGATGAAGAACTGGGAGCCGTTGCTAAAAGGGAGGAAACGTTAATTTTGCTTGGGCATTGTCGACAGCCTAGGTCACTTACGTGTTGGGGCCAGCGTTGGCCATGGAGAGGAGACCGGGCTTGGTGTGCTTGAACTTGAAGTTCTCATCGGGGAACTTCTCGCCGTAGATGGACTTACCACCGGTACCCTATTGAAGCTCCTAGTCAGCCAATTGTTGCGTTTCACCAACCGCCGTCGAGGTCAAACTTACGTTACCGCGGGTGAAGTCACCACCCTGGAGCATGAACTGGGGGATCACACGGTGGAAAGCAGAGCCCTTGTAACCCTGGCCCTGGGGCAGGTTGCAAAGCTCGCGGAAGTTGCGGGCAGTCTTGGGGACATCAGCCTCGAAGAGGTTGAAGTTGATGCGTCCAGTGATGGCTAATGAACAAGTCAGAATCAATTTCAAACAAGTTAAATAAAAGAAGACCTGTATCTAGAGATCAAATTGAATTGTCTCAAATGAGATTCAAGGTTGAAATCCAGGCAGCAAAGAGGTGAAGCTGAGGCTTGGAGGGGCATGAGAGTTTTTGCCCCCCTCCAGAGAAAAGGAACTTACGGGCAGGGGCACCAGCGGGCTGGTACTGGACATCGAAGTAGGCGGTAGTGTTAGACATGGCTGCGGATGATGAAGCAAATGATCGGGCAGCGGGGTGGAATGAAGTGCAATTGAAGAGAGAAGAAGAGAAGAGGGAAGAAGGTGGGGTTATTGACCTCAGTCGGCAGAACATGGTGAGGGGCAGGGCGGAGCGGGTGAACTCGGGTGCCGGGCTACTTTGGGGTTAGCTTGTTGGGTGGACCAGTCAGACCAGGTATGCTGTTTCCGCCTGAGGCTTCCAATTGAAGCTCCCCAGGTTCTCCAGGGGTTCTCTGCTTTCCACAGAGAGCTGGGAGGAACCGGGCAGATCGGTCACAATGCACACTGCAGTCCACAATCATAAAGGTCAAACTCACTAAAGATGGTTTAGATTGAGATTGAGATGGTACAGAAGTAGATGGAAGGAAAAAACGAAGCTCAACGCCAGAAAGCGCCTAGAGCTCCGTGCTTATGTAAGAGCCGGGACATCCCTTTCGGACTATAGGCTCGGACTAGAGGCACTATTGACCTGGCTATCCTGGGGACAATAGCCCCTATTCTAGACCGTCAAGTTTCATGATTGAATGGGTTTCAATATACTCTACTACTGGTGTAAGACTTGCAAAGTCTGGAAGGTAAAATTGAGTTTCAGGTGACATCAGGATGAACTGTTGACCAACCCAGTGTAAACCCGACCTTTACATACTCTTAATTCCAATGAATGACCCAATATAATTGGGTTTTCTCTCGTATCCCACTTTCAATAGGGGAAGGAAGGATTCAAAATGTACTCCAGTTTCTTAGTATCTAGGTTCTTAGAGTAACGGGAACAATTGTTACTTTGACTGGCTGGAAAGAGAGAGATGGAGAAAGGAGAAAGCTGGCGAGTGAAATGTCAAGCAGGATTCCTTTTCGTACTTGTATATCTATCATAAGATAAGTCGCGGCTTGTTAGAATCGGCCTGTGGCTTGCACCGTTTCCACGTTGAAGGTCAGTCAGATCCTTGACGGGCGATGAATGTTGACGAGATGAAACACTATGCAATGACGAGTCAAAATCGAATAAAAGTAGGAGAAAAAGTGAAGAGCACGAAACAAAATCCAAGCATGTAGGAGCATGGAACATATGGTCCTCAGATTGAATGGAATTGGCAAATTCTCTCACACTGTACGCCGTTCAAAAGACAAAAGCAGAAAAGACCAGGGTATCTCAATAATTCTCATCTCGAATTGCCTTCAGCCCCGGTTCGACCCTTTGATGACACCCTCCAACAATTCGCGGATCTGACTACAACCATCGATTCCAACCGCCAACATTGTCTCCATGTACGTAGCATGAACCTTGGACTCTGTGCTGATCACAGCTACCTTCATCGTATCCTCGTCATCATCATCCAGGTGGTTCTCGCCCACAGGAACAACCGTCGTCGTTCCGATTGTCAATACTGGAAGTTCCTGTTCTTCTGGCAAAGACAAATCTAGTAGCGGGTCCAGCTCGTCGTGTCGTGGGTCCCGTGGGGTAGAGGCGCTGCCACTCATACCAGCAGTACAGCCGCAGAGAAGACCAGGCATAGGGATTCCGGCGTCAACGAGGGCCAAAGTACAGGCATTAATTGCCGCGGCGAGCAGAGAGCCATCAGCGGAGAGAACAGAGACGTGGATGCTGATTGTGCTGTGGGGGTAGAGATATGTGTGGAGGTGCGACTGGAAAGCAGAGCGGAGAGTCGTAGCAATGCGCGACGATTGTCTGTGGCCAGGTCAGTATAACCTCTATGCTGGTGGACCCTGTCCAAAAGTTGCAGTCCCAAACATTACCAGAGACGGCTGGGATGGTATATTTACTCACTTGTCACTTCCAGCGGCCCTCCGCTTGCGATCCACGCCGGCGAACCCGGCGACGTTGACATCCACCTCGACGACGGCACTTCCACTACCTGCACCGCCGCCACCTCCCTCGCCGCGGCGACCTTCAGCAGGACCGTGGACAGAGCACATGATTGATGTGTTGCCCATGGACAGGTATGAAGAGCCGGAGCTGGCGGGGTTGGTGGAAATCTGGGCTTGGAGGAGGCGGAGCTCATTCCAGCGACGACCGTCAAGGCGCAGCCTCGTGAGAGGATATGTGGTCGAAGTGTCGAGAGGCATCTTTGCTGTGGGCCTCTTGGGCTTTTCGGAAAGCAGTTATTTCAAGGTAAAAAGCGGTATGCGGTGGGAAGAAATGAAGCTCTACTGTTTGATGCTGTTCAGGTAAGGCTGTTAGCTAAATATCCCGGGATAAGTTGGGCATCCGAGAAGGCATATCCCCGACTCACGTTTGCTTGGTTCTGTATCTCAGGAAGCAATTATATCGCAATTGAAGTGTCGCTTGTCCTTTGGCCGTTCTTTTTTTCTGGTTCCCTGTATATCACGTGATTTAAAATGGGGCCCGCTCTATGAGCATCGCATGTCAACTCTGATCTACTCAGTTCGGTTGATCTTCCGTCATATATTGCTTAAGGTAGTGGTGCAATAGAAAATTTAAATAGGTCACCCAATTATTTTTCTTACATATCCCATTCAAGCTGATTCTGCCAAGAAATTTCCATTCTTATCTAATGGCCGCTATCGCGGACTGTACAAGAGCTGTGTCGCGACAGCCTGATGTGACGACTTCAACTTGCTCAACTCTTTGGCTCACACTCTGGAATCCAAAAATATGCAGAAAATATGACTGATAATAAAGACTCAACCGATGTGATTTATATCGACTCAGATGATGATCTGGAGGTGACACACTATTCAACTCCTGCAAGCAGTATGTGATCTCACACGACGCGCCTTTTATGCAGCTAACATCTTATCAGACCGGGGTCGTGCCCGGTCTCAGAATGCGACACCAATTAAATTAGAGAATACGCGTACCCTTGCTGGGTCATCAAGTGCAGTGAAATCCGAGTATGTGGATAGTGACTCAGACGGTTTCAACGATGGCGAGGCTGCCTACAAGAATTTCAAGGGCCGCAAATCTTTGAAGCGCAGGCAGACTGCTGCAGCCACTCGTAAAGCTAAAACGCCCAGAACGGATGCAGATTCAATCGTGGGTCGAGTGAAGGCAGAGCGACCGAAGCCTGTCCAGAAGCGACCCTTGAAGCAATATGGCGAGGTTTCCTCTGAAGATGAACTCCTAGAAAATGCATTGCCGGGCTATCTGAAGACCCGTCGGACCCAATTCGATCACAAGAAAGAGCGGTTGCAAGATCTCGGGCTGAAGTTACCACCGTCCTACGACGAAATCGATTTCTCCGATGATGAACAACTGCAAAGCCTTCAAGAACGGCCTGTTCTCCTGGATACTGAACCGAAACAAGAATACAAGGATATTCAACTTCCGTACTCTCTCGGTATCATTCCCGCGCCAATTGCACAGTGGCTCCGCCAGTACCAAGTAGAAGGTACTGCGTTTCTTCACGAGCTCTTCGTGTATCAAAAGGGCGGTATTCTCGGAGATGATATGGGTCTCGGCAAGACTATTCAGGTCATAGCTTTCTTAACTGCCGCTTATGGCAAGACAGGAGATGAAAGAGATGCCAAGCGCATGCGAAAAATGAGGAGATCTAACGATAGTGTGTGGTACCCACGTACCCTCATCGTTTGCCCCGGAACACTGATTGCCAACTGGAAGGCTGAGTTTACAAGATGGGGATGGTGGCATGTCGATATCTACCACGGTGAAAATAAGGACATCGCTCTCCATGCAGCAAAGTCTGGACGGGTGGAAATTTTGATCACTACTTACACCACCTACATGAACAATAAGGGATCAATTAACATGATTGATTGGGACTGCGTCATCGCGGACGAATGCCACAAGATTAAGGAGCGCAAATCAGAGACTACTCAGTCTATGAATGAGATTAATGCGCTGTGCCGTATTGGTCTTACTGGCACTGCTATTCAAAACAAGTACGAAGAGCTATGGACTCTTCTTGACTGGACTAACCCTGGGATGTTGGGTCCAATCTCCACCTGGAAGGCTCAAATATGTGAGCCTTTAAAGATTGGGCAATCACACGATGCAACTTTGAGTGAGCTCAGCAGAGCGCGGAAAACGGCCAAGAAATTGGTTGAGAATCTGCTTCCTCAATTCTTCATTCGAAGGATGAAGACACTGATAGCAGATCAGCTGCCTAAAAAGAGTGATCGTGTCGTTTTCTGTCCTCTGACCGAGACCCAGGCCGAAGCTTACGAGAATTTCCTTGATAGCGATATCGTTGAGTACATCAAAAACTCTACACAGCCTTGTGACTGTGGCTCGGGAAAGAAAGCTGGGTGGTGTTGCTATAAACACATACCAAACAGAGACCCCTCTGCGTGGCAGTCGTATGTCTTCCCTGCTATCAATGTTCTTCAAAAGCTCAGCAACCACCTGGCTATTCTCATTCCCCAGGGGGCAGACCCCAAAGATAAGCAGGTGAAGGACAAAGCCATGTTAGAGCTTGCACTCCCCACAAAATGGGAAGATCTATACCGCTCACGAGACTCCATTGTGAATTATGCAAACCCTGAGTTTTGCGGGAAGTGGAAGGTTCTTCGGAAGCTGCTGAAATGGTGGCATTCCAACGGGGACAAAGTACTCATCTTCTCACATAGCGTGCGCCTGTTGAAGATGTTACAGATGCTGTTTCATCATACGAGTTATAACGTCAGCTACCTGGATGGGTCAATGAGTTACGATGAGCGCGCAAAGGCTGTTGACCAATTCAACTCTGACTCGGGGCAATTCGTTTTCCTGATTTCAACCAAGGCCGGTGGAGTCGGTCTTAACATCACATCAGCCAACAAAGTTGTAGTGGTCGATCCGAATTGGAATCCTTCATACGACCTGCAAGCCCAAGACCGTGCCTACCGTATAGGCCAACACCGTGATGTCGAGGTTTTCCGACTCATCTCTGCTGGAACAATCGAAGAGATTGTCTACGCTCGCCAGATTTACAAACAACAACAAGCAAATATCGGGTACAACGCTAGCTCGGAGCGCCGTTACTTCAAAGGTGTACAAGAAAAGAAAGACCAAAAGGGTGAGATCTTTGGTCTGCGCAATTTCTTCGGATATCAGAATGACAACATCGTTCTGCGCGACATTGTCAACAGAACCAACGTCGCTGAAAGTCGAGCAGGCGTCCGGGTCATTGACGTGGATCTTAAAGCTGAAGAAGAGACCCACGACTTCACAGAGCGACCTATGAAGTCGGAAGACGATGCAATGAGCCAACTAGCTGAAATGATATGTGCGGACCAAGAGGAGAAATTGAAGCCACCGACCTCAACCAACCTCCCTACGCCCCACAAGCACGATCCCGTCCAGGCAATTCTCGCTGGCGCAGGTGTCGAATACACTCACCTGAACAACGAGGTCATCGGATCCTCCCGCGTCGAAGAGGATTTGAGTCGTCGTGCTAAGCTTGCACCTGAGGATACCTTAGGTGATCAGCAGGTGTTCATGTCCTCTCAACCCATTTCTGATAGGGGAAAACAACCTGTGCGGTTCAAATATCATCCTCCCGAGGAGGTAAAGCGACGCCAGTTTTGTAGCATGGCGAGGCACCTTGGATATGCTGATGCTACGGAGTTTGCGCTTGTTGTTGAGAGTATGACGCAGGAGCAGAGGAGAGCTTGTCTTGATACTTGGTATCGAGAAAGAAGGGAATTCTTGCTTTCGAAAGATGAAAATGAAGTTAAGGACGAAGAAGGCTTTAAGCGTGAGACTCTCGGAGGATACATCAAAAACGAGAACGTCAAAAGGGAGATGAGTATCAAAGATGAGGAGGTTTTCCTATGAGTGATATTCTGAGTTTTTTATGATTCTTCTGTTTGTTGCTTGATACCCCTTCATTTTAGCTTTATGCGAGACTCTTGAATGATGAAATATTGAATTATCCTGTCTAAGATTTGACAAGTTCACAAATGATGGCCTTAGAATTCCTTTAGAAGGCAAACATAGCAGTAATCAAGCAGACGCTGTGCAGATGGAGCCAAAACCAACGCCCCGATTCCGATTCCGATCCCGCAAACAAGCCAGAAGGAACTAAAGCCAAGCCAAAGTCCACAAAGCCGGCAGATGAGGATACTTCTCCTGCCACTCAGCCAGAATCTCAGGGACCTTCTCATCAAAGCTCTGACGCGCAGGACCAGTTCCATTCTCCCAGCCAGCAGACCCATGAACCCGATGTTCCGCAACAGCAGCTTCATTCAATCGATTTGCCAGATCCAGAATCGCCTTACCACCCGTCAACGCCTCCTCATGGTTATCTTTAATATCGACGTTGAAAACATGAACAGGATGATTCAGCGCCGAGCCCTTATTCATCAAATCATCAACAACAGCATCCCAGCAGCGCTCCTCACACGTTATAATCACATCAACAACACCACCCTCAGTCCCGATAGCCCCCTTATCGCCCTTGGAGAGATGGTCGACACGCGGCATGCCAGGGACCCAATCCTGGAAGCGCTCAGGGCCCCATTTCAGGTGGCGGTTGCGGTCGAGCATATTCAAGATCCCGTTGCCGCGGTATAGCCGCTCGTCCTTGCTGTGCAGTTCCTCGTACATCTGGTTATAGGAGGTTGTGTTGAAGCTGTAGACATTTGGTTGGGTAATTGACGGGCCTGGGAGGCGGACGAGGGAGCCTGTGCCGAAGGATATGACGGGGTAGGCGGTTGGGGCGCCGGAGAGCTGGAGGTGCGCTTCCATTGAGCGGTTGTTGTTTGATGCGCAGACTGTGCAGAACTTCAGCTTGTAGGAGTCTGTTGTGCCTGCCTCGTCGGCTGGCTTTGCTTCTTCTAAGGCTGATGCCATTTCGGTGATTTCGGGTGCTGGCGGTGGTGGGGGAGGTGGTGGTTGGGGAGTTGAAGTGCCCGAGTTTGGGCGACGGGGATCATATGCCATCTTTCTTTTTGGAGAGACTAGTATAATAGGAGGGTGTAGATAGAAATATGGACTATATGGAGTTGCTTTCAAGTTGTTTCTAGGGGGGAGGTTCTTTCTGGGTATTCCAGGAGGCTTCCAGTGTTTACAATTTCCTGTTGACTTGAAGATTCAGTTAGCGACTGATCTTGGTAGATTGGTTGACAAGGTGAAGTGGAAGTGAGGTGATTCAGAAAAAAAGCGTATAATGAGTTTATCCGCATAGCAAAAGCTCAGACAGCTCCAATAAAAAGGTTCATCAGGTAATTAGGGTGAAATGAGATATACTGAGACACATACCTTGTGTATTGGGGCCGGAGCCCTGAGGAGGAAGAAAGAGTGAAGGTTTTGCAGAACTTGGGCGTTTTTAGTGCTCGGCTGAGCTGTTTGTCACCGCGGTTCCTTCCGCCTCTGGATGCAGAAGGATGTGGTGCTTATGTAATATTCTGCCCATTTAATGCTATCATGTCTTATCGTTATCGCATTCCTTATCGCTGCTCTTATCGCCGTTCTTATCGCTTCCATATCCCCCGATGTGGTTACCATTATGTTTTCTTCTTCTCTTTCAAGCAGTTCCAGTCAACTTGAAGACAAACATAAACATGGCTTCTGATATGTCTCCCAGGTCTGCACTGATTGTGGTAGACATGCAAGAAGACTTCTGTCACCCGGTAGGTCATTCTGAAGTATCCCCAGCCATGAACCCCCCCGCCATTATACTAACAATACCCAGAATGGCTCACTAGCTGTCCAAGGCGGCAGAGAAATATCATCAACCATCAATGCCCTCCTATCTAAGCCAGGGTTCGATATGCGAATCGCAACTCAAGATTATCACCCAAGTGACCATATCTCTTTTGCCAGCAACCACCCAGAACCAAACAACAAGCCCTTCATATCCACCATCAAAATGCAAAACCCAGCGCCAGGCAAAGAATCAGAGGTCAAAGATCAGCAGCTCTGGCCTGTTCACTGCGTGGCAGATACATTTGGCGCAGAGATAATCCCCGAGATCGAGCTCAGACGGGTCAATTTTGCTGTTCAGAAGGGTATGCACTCTCTGGTTGAGATGTATTCTGTCTTTGCGGATGCGTTTGGAAATCGCGATCCCGTCATCAATAGGCAATCTGTTCGAATGGACGTGGCGGCAGCTCTGACGCTGATGGGTATTAATCATGTTTTTGTGGTTGGTCTTGCTGGGGATTACTGCGTCAAGCATACTGCGATGGATGCTGTCAAGGCTGGCTTTAAGACTTGGGTTATTGAGGAAGCTACTCGGTGTGTTGTGCCTGAGGCTTGGGGTACTGTCAAGGAGGAGCTGGAGGCTGCGGGCGTTTCTGTTGTTTCTATGTGCGATCCAATTGTCCAAGAGCTGGAGTCGAATACCCACTAGTTTGGCTTCTTGACATGGTTTTCTGAGATATTGTGGGATGGACTTGATACTTGCAGGCGCTATTTGATACCACAGCTTGTTCAAATCACATGAGTCCGATTTATGAATTCCCACGACATCCTCCAGTTCCCCGTACTTGACATTAGTCTACAAAAATGATCGTTTCCCACTCGCAGTGTTTAAGCAACGAATTGCCACAGTGGATTCCCGGGATCGACGGCGGGGAACGCCTCATACTCCATTCGGCATATGGCGGTGACCTCGCAAGGGAGAGCTCCAACAACACAACATTCAGATTCAGTCGTTGACCTGACTAGACCACCAATCACGATGCCATACTTTACTGAGCCGTCAACTCCGGCTACTCTCTCTACACGCGATATGAAGTTACCAGATGCCGATCCAACAACGCCAGAGCGCTTCTCCCACGGCCACAATCTGAACTCCGGAACTCTTCCCTTCTGGCTGGTGAACCTACCGCGATCGCAATGGACAGCTGAATGTCCTGGTTTTCTGCGCAATCAGCCGCCAAAGAACCTACGATGCCTCTCCACACTCGATGCCCACTACAAACGACAGGACTGGGATGAAGTGAAGAAGATAACCAGTGGGTATACCTCCCTACTACAAACATAATATTGCTTCTCGAGCTCATTTGACCCCAGAAACCAACCGAATTGACCTGTTTCAGCGTGTCCCAAGCGAGCTACGCAGATATCTAGAATACGCAGCTCAAATCAAGGCCGAGTACACCTCAGTCATGAGATTTGTGGTCAAAGAACGACTACAATGGGGTGACGGCAACATAGAAGGCCTCCAACCACGGGGCAACCCATTTGAATACAACGGTATGGCATGGGTTCTCGGGAGACGAGACAAAAACCCGGGTTGGATGTCAAAAGCAAGACTGATATTCTAATACCTCAACAGAAGACATTCGAATCCTCTACAACGACTGGCCGTATGGCGTGGAGACAGACATCATCCATCTGGTCGTGTGGACCAAATTCCAGCTGGAAGATGACCCTGCGACCGGTGACTTGGCGCCACGCGCGCGCGAGGCCATAGAGCAGTATGTGCAGCGCACGTTTTGTTCGCGCGTACCGGCCGATCAGGTGTGTCTCAGCTCCAATACGAATACGGGAGAATGGGGCTGATGCAGCAACAGGTTGTTTGGTTTCGAAATTGGAAGTCGCTCAAGTCTGTTCAAGCGATTGAACATTTCCACGTCATGCTTCGTCGTCCCGATATGGCATTTGTGAGGGAGATCACCCGGGGAGATGTGCCGCTGATCGAACGGGTGAGAGAATAGAAATGGCGGGGAAGGGGAAGACGAAGAAGAGGAAGAAGAAGAACAAGAAGAAGGGACTTAGAAAGCATTTGCAGACTACTGCTGTTAGACTCGACCAACCCGTGTCTCCCTCCTACTGTAGCCAAATAGTGGCAGAGATCAAGTTATAGTAGAATGGTTGGGGGAGACGTCACACTTCCAAGCTAAGCATTTCTTATTTTCTACTTTTTTTTCTCTTCTTTTTCTTTTCGATCTCCAGCTCCGACTCTTCCGCCCCATCAACTACCGAAACACTGGCTTTCTCCTTCTTTTCTCTGACTTACATGTCAACTTAAACCCTGGAAAAGCAGACTTCCCGAGTTGGGATATCCTCATCAGACATGCCGGTCCCGCATCTCCGCCGTTCTTCCCTCGCCAGTTTGTCCCGCCTTTTCTCTTACAAACATCTCCCCCCCCCCCCCCCCCCCCCCAAATCATGTCCACTAACCCTGAACCAGGTAGATCTTCTATGGATGACTCTCCCCCAAGTGGGGAAGATGAGGTCGTCGAGCCCGACCAGGGAAATGGTGCGTCCGATCCCACAGCAGAATAGTCCCCCTCCCCTCCAAAACTGACTCGAACGCCTCAGTGCTGTCGCACATCATCTCGCAGTTGCGACCCGGCGCAGACTTGAGTCGCGTGGTCTTGCCAACCTTTATCCTCGAGCCCCGATCCATGCTGGAGCGAATTACCAAGTATGTCGATCCGATCAGGCTCCAGCTATGTCCGCTGGGAGGATGACTTGCTAAACGTACCAACAGCTTCATGGCCCATCCCGAGACCCTCCTGCCCATGTCCACGATCGATGATCCCGTCGAGCGCTTCGTTTCGGTGGTCAAATTCTACCTGAGTGGATGGCACATTAAACCACCGTACGTCATCCGCGATCTACACCGGGAAATATTCTGATGGCTTTATAGAGGCGTGAAGAAGCCGTTGAACCCGATTTTGGGAGAAACGTTTACTTGCTACTGGGACTATCCCGATGGAACCCGCGGTTACTACATTTCCGAGCAAACATCCCACCACCCGCCCAAGTCGAGTTATTTCTTTGCGGCCCCGGAGCATAATATACGCATCGATGGAACCCTGAAGCCCCGGAGTAAGTTCCTGGGCAATTCGGCAGCCAGTATGATGGAAGGCATTGCCATTTTGCGACTGCTGAACCGCGGCGAGAACAAAGAAAAGGGCGAGAGATAGTGAGTGGACCTCGGCTGTGAAGGGAATGAACACTAATATGGCTAGTATCCTGACCCAACCCAACATGTATGCGCGTGGCATTCTTTTCGGCAAGATGAAGTATGAGCTTGGCGATCACAGCTATGTCCGCTGTCCAGAGAACCATCTCGTGGCCGATATCGAGTTCAAGACGAAGGGTTATTTCTCTGGCACTTATAACGCCATTGGTGGCACAATCAAAAACGAGCAGACTGGTGAGGTGCTTTATGAATTGTCAGGTCTATGGAATGGAGAGATGCATATCAAGGATGTTCACGTATGCACATTTCCCCGATATACTCGGCCTTGGCACTGACTGATACTGACTGGAGCAGACTCACAAGAAAGACCTTTTGTTTGATGCATTGCACGCAAAGCATACGAAGCCTTTGGCACGTCCACTGGAAGAACAAGGTGAGCGGGAATCACAGCGCTTATGGCTCGAGACAGTCCAAGCGATTGTCGCCCGCAACCATGAAGCTGCCACAGATGAAAAGACCAAGATTGAAGATCGCCAGCGAGACGAAGCTGCCAAGCGTGCTGACGAAGGAATTGACTGGCGTCCCCGGCTATTCCGTGCCATCCAGGGCGGACCTGGTGGTCAGGATGAAGGCGAGGAAGACCTCGACTGGATCATCAATGCCGACGTGTAAGTCTCCCGCCACAATCATTTCGCTCCCTACTGACTTCTCAGCGATATGCGCGATCCCAACCTGGCCACCAAGCAAATTCTAGCCATCGCCCCCATCGTCCAAGGTCAGAAACAGTCATCCCAGTTCCAAATCCCGCCACACCATCCCCGCGCTCCAAACTAGGCGACATGCCCCAAGCGACAACATACAGACAGCTAATACGACCCGTACCCAGGCCCTCCCGCGACCCCAAGTGACGCCAATGAGCCGACCGTCCAACGGACAGACACGCAAACGTCAGACGTGGATGAATTTGTAGATGCCCAGGAAGCCAACTAAGCCAGACCCCCCGTCTCCAACACGGATCCTAGATCCATTCCATTCCATCCATCAATCACTCCCCGACTTAATCCAAACTTCTCTCTCACTCTGCCACCTCAACCTTCGCAGATTACCCGTTCCAGCACAAACCGAACTCGAGGCGGCCGGCATTACGCTTGTCCTTGACTAATTCCTTCCTTGCCCCTCTGATGTTTCAACACAGCGTTTCCGGCGACCATACCGTTCCCATTGCTGGATACCCGATTTGTTTAATTTAAACACAAAAAGAAAAATAGGATCTATTGTCAGAAATGAATTCTCATACCATATGGGTGATAAGAGTCTACAGAGACTCTTGATTATAATGTTAGATGTTGATCTTTGGAATTCGTATGTTATTCACTCCTACTGTACTGGGATATCACAAAGGCAAAATAGAATAAAATGCCCAACACAAACAAGCCAAAAAAAAAAAAAAAAGAAAACGCCCACATATAAAAAAACGCCATCAATGACAAATGCGCCATGCTTCACAAAGATCACCGTCATCAAGACACCATAGCAGTAAATCAAGAAAACAGCTCTCCCTTATACCCAGCACCTCGCTCAAGCTCCCTCCGTCGATTAGGCCGAGGGATTGCCCCCGCAGAACCAGTGTACGCAGTCTGCGAAGCAGCCCCAGCAGCACTCACACTCGCAACAGAGCCACCACCATCATACTCCTCCCTCTCTTCCTCAGCAAGCAACATCTGCTCCTCAATCTCCTTCTCCGTATCCTCCCTCAGCCCAAGAATATCCGGCGGAATGAAACTCATCTGCACACTCGGCGCACCCTGAATATAACGCAACTGCTCATGAACGGCCTCCACAAGCCCCGCAAGATACGGCCGGGGATTCTTATTCTCCAGTTTGCGCAGCTCTGACAAAGGCGGGAACAGCGAGAAATCCGGCCCGAAGTGATTGCGAAACGCCACGCTATCCGGGATGGTCGGGTCGAGGATGGAGTCCGCTTCCAGCAGGATGGACGTCTCATGCGCCCACGCCCGGGAGACGTTTCGAGGCGTGTACCCGCCGCCGCCGACGACGAGCAGCGGGAGCCCGAAGGTCTTCGTGAAGGCCACGCAGGCGCCGTGCGCGCGCACGTTCAGGTTGAAGCAGCCGAGTCGGTCGCAGCCTAGGCTGTCGGCGCCGCATTGGAGGACGATGGCGCCGGGTCGGTAGGTCGCGACGCAGGCGCCGATGACTTCGTGGTAGAGCTGGATGTAGGAGTCGTCGTCGATGCCGTCGTTGAGGGGGACGTTGATGGAGTGGTGGGCGCCTGGGTTGAGGGGGTGCGAGGGGCCCGTGTCGTCCAGGGCGCCGGTGCCCGGGAAGAAGTTGTCTTTGTCGTATTTGTGGAAGGAGACGGTGAGCACGCGGTCGGTTGACCAGAAGGCTTGCTCGACGCCGTCGCCGTGGTGGACGTCGATGTCAATGTACATGACGCGTGGGTGGTGGCGGAGGAGTTGGAGGACGCCCAGGACGATGTCGTTGACGTAGCAGAAGCCGGACGCTTCTGCTTTCTTGGCGTGGTGGAGGCCGCCGCTCCAGTTGATGGCGATTTCGGATTGGTTGTTGCATAGTTTTCTGGCGGCGTCGACGGTGCCGCCGGCATAGAGGCTGCAGTAGTTGTAGAGGCCGTCGAAGATGGGGCAGTCGTCGCCGAAGTTGAAGCGTATGACGTTGTCGCTTTGTTCGGGTCGGTCCATGTCGCCGGGCATGACCTGTCGGAGGAAGTCTAGGTAGTCTGCTTCGTGGAAGTCGGCCATTTCTTCATAGGTCGCCGCGCGCGCGAGGTACAGGTCCATTGCGTGGTGCATGCCGTAGGCCATGACTAGTTGTTTGGTCAGGGTCAGGCGCCATGGTTTCATCGGGTGCGATTGGCCGAAATGGTGGGCTTCGACGGCTGGGTTGGCGTGCCATGAGACGCGGTAGCCTTGGGGTCGGGCGACTTGGTAGTTTTGGCGCTCGGTTGCGGACTTTTGGTCGATGCTGAGGGTCGGTGCGGAGGGCGGTGCATACTCTTGCACCACGGAGGGGCGAGCCATTGAGGCTAGAAGGGAGATGGGATCAAGAGAGCAAAGGTGTCCACGATGTCAAAGGTGGGAGCTGCAGCTCATTTTTGGGATTGAAGAATGGAGTCGAGATGGGCCGCTTTAAGATGCTGACTAAGACCGGGCTTGGACCCTCCAGTGCAGGCGTGCAGGTGCAGATGCAGGTGCAGCATAAATCCATGAACCATGACGAGTTACGAAGAAATAACTCTTTGGACTGGGATGGATGCAATGTTGTTTGTTTGATATTGTAGCATGATAGGATTGGAGCACTAACTGATCTACATCGACATCCTGATATGCCCAATGCTAGTCTCTCAGTAGCTCTTCAGCTCGAGACGAGGCGACCCCGCCTCAATGTTCTCTCCAAGGTCTACGGTCCAACTCACCGAGTAAATGCCGAGTCTCTATACACTGTAGTGAATTTCGATCCTGATGTCAACTGCTATAGGTGGAGTCTAGTACCGATATCGGCCAGGTGGAGAGTGCGCATCATCGAGAGCAAAGAGATGCGGTGGGGAAGAATGAGGGAAAAGCTTGTCACACATGGACATATAAGACTTAACTTACCATCCAGACTTCCGCGGTCCACTCCAGATCAGAGTATTTTATATCAGTCGAGACCAAGACATCATGGCTCTCCCTTCAGCAGCTACCACTCTGCGCAAGACCCTCCAAGACCCCGATGGCTTCGTCGTAGCCCCGGGAGTCTACGATGGCATGTCCGCACGTCTAGCACTGGCAGCGGGCTTCGACGCATTATACATGGCATGCAGACCTCATCCGCTCCCCACTGACCCCAGGCGAACCATCCCGGCTAACAAGCATCGTCCCAGACCGGCGCAGGAACAGCAGCCTCAGTGCACGGCCAAGCTGACCTCGGAATCTGCACCCTGAATGACATGCGCGCGAACGCCGAAATGCTCGCCAACCTATCCCCATGCACGCCCCTCATCGCCGACGCAGACACCGGCTACGGCGGACCGATCATGGTCGCACGAACAACCGAGCAATACGCCCGGTCCGGCGTGGCAGCCTTCCACATCGAAGACCAGGTCCAGACGAAGCGCTGCGGCCACTTATTCGGCAAGCAACTCGTCGAGACGGCGACGTACACAACCCGCATCCGGGCAGCCGTGCAAGCGCGCCAGCGACTCGGTAGCGACATCGTCATCATCGCACGCACAGACTCGCTGCAAGCGCATGGGTATGAAGAGAGCCTGGCGCGACTGCGGGCGGCGCGGGCGGCGGGCGCAGACGTGGGATTCCTGGAAGGGATTTCATCGCGGGAGATGGCTGCGCAGGCTGTCAAGGACTTGGCGCCTTGGCCTTTGGTTCTGAATATGGTCGAGCATGGGGCGACTCCGTCAATTTCGGCGGCGGAGGCGAAAGAGATTGGATTTCGGATGATTATCTATCCGTTTGCCACCCTTGGACCGGCGCTTGTTGCCATGCGGGAGGGATTGGCGAAGTTGAAGGAGACTGGGTTGCCTGGGTTAAGTGAGGAAATTACGCCGCAGATGCTGTTCCGGGTTTGTGGGTTGGATGACAGTTTGAAATTGGATGCTGAGGCAGGCGGGGATTCATTCGAGGGTGGGGTTGATTTGAGCGGGAAGTGATCACGATCCATGGATAGTTCAGGGACTGAAGATGCTCCTGATTCTGTAGTTCGGTCGTCGTAGGCTCAGCACCCTGTCTCAGGAGGCGTCTAGAAATAGAACCGCCATGTCCTCCGTTTCTATTTCCGAACCAAGCCACAATCAAATATAGAAGTGATAGTAGGAGTATAGAACACTATAGTTTTCATTCTGATAGTGATTTTTTTCCAGATCTACAAGAAATGCTTCCCACGGTAAATCAAGTCATTAATTTCCCAGTAGAGCCGAACCTTGGCTCAGCTCCCGTCTCAACCCTTGGTTCTGTTTATTTACTGCTGTTTTTTTTGCACATCGCAGTTTTAAAGTCATTTTAGCCCCCAGGGATCCAAGGATGGGACCTGCATTGAATCTGTCCGGGTTCCTGCACAGTTAGCCCTAGTGTTTCAGGAACGCCCCTCGACATCAAGGCATTACAATACTGTAATGGGCACCGTTCATACCGCGAACACAATAACATCCAACCCTGGGCCAAACCTACACCGCAACTGGGCAATCCTGGGCAATCCTGGGCAATCCTGTAGGCGGCTAAAAATTCAGATTTGGCACACCTGAAACGACTCCCCCTCGGTCTAGCGCTGGTAAACATCCAAGGCCTGGATTCAAGTGGAGGGCCCAAGGAGTGGCACTATGGACACGGATGGAGCCCGGCAACAGCGTACCGGAGACAGACTCGTCATGTCGGTGGAGCAGGGCTCAGGCGATTCCTGCGATATTGTGGTGCCTTACGTTGTACCTGTAGGGAGGCAGGGGCAAATCTCTGCCGTTGATCTGCGGCCAGGCCTTGTTTGTGCACATCCGTGGATATGATTGACAGGGACAGTGCTACTGTCTTGGTCTAATTTCCATGTTCACTGGGGGGGTGTATGCATCTGAGCCTGAACCTGAAAGTATGAATATAGGAAGAGGAATATGACAAGTGATTGAACCGTGGGTACTTATGGTTCTGTCCACGTACAGCAGAGGTGAGTTGTCCCCGTATTTAAGATTGGGCTTCGTAAGACTGAGATCCTTGCGGATTGTCCCGATTGGCTGGGGAATCGACTTGGTAGAGGGATATTGGGCTACTGTAGACTACTGTACAGTATACGTTGGCATTCAGCATTCCGATGAACACGTGTGAGAGTATAGATGGAGTCATTTCCTGTAACAATCAATAGACAATACACAATACACTCCCCCAACTACCGCAAATCCATGAATACACAGACTGGGAGAGTAAACAGGTCACCCCCTAAAGTGAAAAGTACACAAAGCCAGAGTCTGGACCGCTGCCTGGCCAATCGCGCGACTGAAAATCTCCACCTTGACTCCACTGGCTCAGGTACGCACCAATCATCTTGCTACAGCCCCTGATTTTTGGTGTAAGGTTTACGGCCGTTTGTGTGATACAATAAGACCAGCAGCCCCCCCCCCAAATCCACCCTCCTTCTTCTCATCTCTCACACACATTCATTTGATTGGAATTTTCATCTCGTCGAGCGTCGTTTTTCGCTCAAGCCACTCATTTCAATATGCACTTCTCCAACTCTATGCTGCTGATGACCGCGCTGACCGCTGGGTCGGCTGTCGGTCGTCTTCACGGTCACGACCGCCGTCACGCTCACCCCAAGCTCGATGTTGAACTCGTCGACATGGAGGTTGACGCTCCTGCCATCACTGCCCTGCCCAAGGTGGAGGAGCGTGGTGTTGGTGCTGAGGTCATTGCTACCATCGACGGCCAGCTCGTCTCTTGGATCAACGAGTGGTCTGGCGCCCAGTCCTCCGAGTCTTCCGCCGAGGCCACCACCACTGCCGCTGTCATCGCCTCTCCCACCAGCGAGGCCACCGTCGAGGCCACTTCCGAAGCCGCTTCTACCGTCAGCGCTACCCCCGTTGCCTCCAGCTCGGCCTCCTCCGGCTCCAGCAACTGGGCCGACTACCCCTCCGACGGCGACTACACCACTACTGGATTCGGTGCCTCCACCGCCAGCAAGCGTGTTGGCAGTCTCGACTGGGACTACATCGGCAACGTCGGTTCCCCCTGGGGTAGCAACATGATCCAGGTCGACGAGTCCGCCGCCAGCGGTTACAAGCACGTCATTCGCTTCGAGAACGACAACTCCAAGGCCTGGACCGTCGTCATGTGGAACTCGTACGGCCCCAGCGGTGGCCTGAACGGTTTCTGGTCCCCCAACTCTGCTCTCAGCTTCACCGTCGAGCCCAACCACAGCATCTTCGTCGCCATCGATGACGACTCCCAGGGTGGATGGGGTGCCTCCGAGGGCGAGGGTCTGGCTACCAACTACGTGGGCGAGTACGCCTCCACCTGGGGTGAGTTCGACATGAGCAACTCCCAGAACGATGGATACTCCGGCTGGGACGTTTCCTGCATTATTGCCCAGCTCGCCAACCTCGAGATCGCCGGTATGCAAATTTGCAACCACCTCGGTGAGAAGTGCTCTTCCATCACCCAGGGTGCCGGTGCCACCGTCAGCGCCTACACCTCCGCCGACCAGGGCAAGACCGACAAGGCTGTTGCCCAGTCCGCCGGCCCCGTCCGTCTCGTCGTCAACCTCGGCTGGAGCTCTTAAGCGGCTACTACTGAAAATCTCACGGACAGTTTTGATTATTCTTGCGCAAATGGTTCAACACTGAAGGTGTATTTGTCTTTTTACATGTGTGCGTGCGCGGGTTGATCCCTGGCCACATATTCTCATCTTCGAGCTGCTCCTCTACGGATACCCTTTTTTTTTCTTCCATTTTATTCTTTTCCGTCAGAGGGGCGCATACATATCTTTGTCACAATTTGCTTCTTTTTGTCCTCTTCTCTGTACATATACCACTTGATTTGAGAGTTGATATCTTTTTTTTTCTGTCCATCCTTGTCCCCAAGCAGTGTAGTGCTATCCTATTCCTGACATGTATCCTCAATCCTCATCGTTTGCCCCAGATCTATCCTATTTCCGAGCTATCTATGCCCAATATACCACCTATGTATGCTATATCTCATACTGAATCAAGCATCAATATCTGAAACGATTTACCCCAAGTCCCATGGAACCACAGTTTCACCCTGCAGGATTGAAAGCGAACGCCAAAAAATGGGGTTCAAACACATGTTCGTCCACAGTTCGTCCAAATAACTGAAACGAACCCCTACCCAATGGACCCTTTACCCGTGACCCTTCCTACCCCATATAAAGTTCACTAAACGTACAGCTGATATGCAGTTGACCCCTCGGGGCGCACACTAACGCCTATCCTGCATAAAGGACCGAATTCAAAGATCTCCATGTATGTCATCGGCTTTGCATGTTGGCCAATGGGATCTCAATATCCAGATATTGTGTTTTGAGGTGTCGAGATAGTAAGTTGGTGTTCTCTTTGATCCTTGTAGATCTTAGATCGCAATGAAAGGAATGAAACGAGATGCGTGGAATGTTAGATTGGGTTAGGGCTGAGGAATGGAATGCTGGGGCACCGTGCACTGCAGACTGGAGACAGAGGGCATGTGCAGAACAAGGATCTATGCTAGCCTCAATACAGTAGATGCTTACGCCCCCTAAAGAATACAAAGGAAATAGTTCAGTTTCAAGTAAAAGACTCGGTCTCTTGACCCGACTTTTGATTCCACGTGAAAGAACGAGTAAAACGCCTTCACCTTCACATTTACCTTCGCGGTACATGGAAGCAACAAGGACGATCCTTGGAAATGACAGAATGCTATGCTATCGTACAATCTTCACTTCCACCAGTCTAAAACAAGACAAAACATTGATCTGCCAACCTGAAAGAAGAGAGGAGCAGTCAAAACGACCAAGGACAAAGCAAACGCGCTGCGAGCGTGTATCAACCCTAACCCGACCACTTACAACGCGCCCAAGAAGTCAGCCGCAGACCCAGGATCAACGTGCATAACCTCAGGCTGGAACTCAACATCCTCTTCCTCCTCTTCCTCGGCATGACCACCAGAGAAAGAAAGCAAGCCCACACTGACCATATACCCAACCAGCGCAGCGCCACCCGCAACAGCAGCAACAACCGAAACAAGCATATCCCGATTACTGGAATCAGCATACTGAGCCAGCAAGCTCTTCTGCACGGGCGAGAAATCCCCATCAGCCTGCACAACCTGCTTCAACCGTCTGTTCTGACGAATCTCGCTCAAGAACGGCGTATTATCAGCCAGAGTCGCAAGCAGCGTAGTGCCAACGGCAGCAACGGAGACACGAGCCGGGGCCGCCCAAGGCAATTTCGCAAACTCAGCCTCCGCACCCCGGGCCGGCTGCAAAGCATGCTCAATCTTAACATCCACATCGCCGAAACAGCGACTGCGCATCCGCTCCGTGTAAGCCGTGATCAGCGGGGCCTTGGCGCGCATGGCATCACGCAACCAGGGGAAATTCAGCTCGGGAATCAGCGCGAGCGCAAGGTATCCCAGCGCGACGCAGTCCAGGCTGGAGGGGGATCCGGCCGGGGTGGGGAGCAGGCAGGATTTGCGGGCGAGCATTGCTTCGAGGGGTTCGAAGAATTCGGCTGTCAGGGCTTCCAGGCGGAATTGGTTGTGTTGGGCTGTTCGGCCGAGGAGTTTGGAGACTGTTTCGCGCGGGGTCTGGATGAGCGTTTTGGGGATCTGGCCGGCTGCTACTGCGGCTGAGTGGTCACGTTTGCGTTGTTCTTCCATGGCGGCTAGGTCTAGGGAGGAGAGGCCGAGGTATTCTGTGCGGGTTTTGGCGGCGCCGTGGAGCTTTGGTGGGAGGATCCATTGGTTGGGCCATTGAAGGAGGGTGCCGTACGCTGGGCTTGTGTTGTTGTAGTAGTTTTGGCTTGTGACGTAGAGGGATAGGTCGAGGAGGGGTTGGCCGCGGGATTCGATGAAGGAGGAGAAGCTGTTTGGTGTTAGTCTTTTTTTTTGTTTTGTTGGTGGAGGAAGGGGAGGAAGGCATACGCAATGCTGTCGGCCTGTTCGACTTCGCCTAGGTTCTCATCCAGGTTCCATGCTCCCTCGGAGTATTGGCGGAGGTAGTCCACGATATTGCGGAATCGGCTCACCCAGATTGACCCATTCTGCAGAGCGGGAAGCTCACCTAGTTGGTATCAGCAGCTGGTACCTTTTTGTCGATACGTCACTTACCGGTTGGGGACACGGAGGGATCGCTGCTCGCAATCAGCTCCCACGAATCCTTGGGCAGGACCTCCGAGCAGTATGCGATAGTGGCGAGACATTGCGCGTCAATTGATGGCAGGGAAAAGGCCGGGCCCCATACATGCAATTGTAGTACCATGGTGGCTTTGCGCTTGGAGAAGAAGTAGTCCCGGCCGTGATTGATTTGGGGCGGGCGGTCACGTGTGTTTATCCGTTGCTATATAAAGCCGAGCTCTTCATACTTGCATTCTACTATCTGCTGGGCAATCTACTGTATTGGCATATGGTGTCTTCATTCCTGTAAGATCTATTTCTGGTATGATGATTCTATCTCCCGGCCCAATATCAGTCATCACGCCTGAACCATAACAGTCTCAACAGCGAATATGTAATATTTTAGTAGGTTCCAGCTCCTTAACCTCGGGACCAGTGGCTGAATGTGCTTACGAGCTAGGCATCCATCATCCCATTTGTCCAGTTTGTCGTGTATATGCACCAAGCAATGACAATCAGCTACTTCCTCTTTCGGGTTATCGAATCTCCAATCAACATCAAACCAAGCCCGTCGATGTGAGTCCCTGGGAAGATAGCAGGATAGCCAATGGAACTTTCTTTCCTAAGCGGCGCATTTGCCAGATCGGAACCTTTGGAAAGCCAAAGTCGACTTGGCCCGCTTGATAGACATCCCAGCACGGCCATGTACGGGCCGTGTTCAGGCAGAGGCAGTGCACAGTCCAGTAACTTTCAAGGTTACCTCTACTCCGTACAGATGTACAGCAAATCCATCGAACGATTCCAAAATAGGCCGCTTCGTGAAACCTAGCAACACGAGAGCCTCAAAGCCCATGGCAGCCTGGAAAGTATGACGCCACGGCCCCTGTCCACTGATTCCTTTTCCTGGCTCTCGGGCCTGAGACATGATCCTTGGCTTTCGACACGCAAAAAAAGAAAGGGAGAAAACGATAAGAGCCATTTACCATTTACCATTTACCAAATGACCTCATTCGGCGCAACACGTGGCTATGTGCCAGGTCAGCTCCTGCACAGACTCATCCCCTGAAAGTCAGTCCTGTCAGACATCTGTCTTGCGGCCGAAAGCTTACTTCTGAAACGAAGATAAATATATCCGATACTCTCTATTCTAACCATGGAAACACATTAAACATTCAAACTATATCGGTTCCTCCGTGGAGGGGTCAAGGGGATCGATTGGATATAGATTAACTCGATTCTTGCAGAATGAGGGGCTAACGGCCAAGAGTGACCGTCATAGATCCGGTTTTGGGTGGAATTGGCCATTCGGCCGAGGTCTGTCATTGGCGGGAAACGACTACCTGAACTGGAGACCCAGTTTCCCGGATCTCCTCCCATCTCCAGATTATGTACAGTAGTGCATAGTACTGTGTTTGAAGGGCCCAAACCAGGCCAAATCCCGAAATGCGCTCGGACGGGCCCAAAGTCGTATCTAGCTTTGACTCGTTTTTCGTGTTTCTGATTTTTGGGGGGGGGGGATTTTGGTTTTTTCCTTTTCCTTTTAAATTTGGCCGTTTAGCCGTTCTGTTTCCTTTTTTGATCCTTAGTACGGGGGACGTGGGATTCGGAGTATTGTGTCTGCCTCTTCTGAGGCAGGTACATAAGTTATACAGTAGTTCCGTGCATGGGGGTTACTAGGTGCAGTGACTAGTTGAACTAGTAGTTCTGCATGCAATATGCTAGATAGTCATTACAGTAGACTGTCCGGGTTTCACGCACCAATCAATCCCGGATTTCCGGCCATGCCACACAGTAAGCGTCAAAAGGTAAATGCAAATGTTGATGCACGCACCATACTCCGGCCTAGTAACGGGCTCGATAACGATGTCAGATCGGTGCCAACTCCGCTTTGGATCAACATGGGGGGGTTTATCTGCCTTTCTCCTTACACGCCAATCCCTCTTCCGCGACACCCGCCAGCCTGTCATCCCTGCTCGCATTAGCGTGGCGAGGGATGGTCAGATGGGTGACGGGTGACGGGTGAAACGGGTCGGGGGATAGTGTTTCACCCAGGTTAATTTATGCACAACATACAGCTTATCCAGGAAATCAATAAATATTGTAGAAAGAAAATGACAAATTGCTCTGTTGGGTATACTAAGTCTATGATACATGCCGGTGATTCAGATAGCGGCCAGATGCAGTGGGGAAAGAAGAAGGGGGAAAAAAAAACACAAAAAAACAGACATGACAGAAAATAAACAGAATTAAAAGGCTCTCAGAGTCAATCACGACCAGTCATCGCGACACATGGGAAAGGAAACAGAAGAAAAGAAAGGGAAAAAAAGAGCTGAACATGCGATGGATGACGCATTGACGGGACGATCGTGCTAATCCTGACAGGGTTTCGCTGTCCAATTGAGATGCATATTTCTCCGCATCTGCGCGTCATGCTCGATCGAAAAGCTGAAACAGAACCCCGCCCAGGGGAGTGTCAAAGCAAGAGATAGAAAGGCTATTAATGCAAGTTGGGAGTATAGCGCCGGCGCCAATCTCCATATGCTAGTTAAAAAAAAGAAATAGCAAAAGAGTGAAAGCAAATGGGTGGGAATGGCCCTTCCAAATGTCTCAAAATGAGGAAGTGTGTTGTAGTCCGAGGGTTGGAACAAGTTTTCCGCTCTTGCGCTGCGCAGGCTATGATTGAAATGCCAAGGTGGGAAGCGAGACTGGCAGGGCTAGCGCTCGTGTAGGCGCGGGAAACTTTCTGGACTTGGAATTAGGTGCTGTCCGAGTGGTAGAGTTGAAGCCGGGTCGAGGTTGAAAGTCGTGATATCCATGCCGAGGTGAGTCCAGGTCGTGAGCGTATGTGTAGATACGCCAGTGTCATCAGATTCGTTGAAGTCGGACTCTTTATTTCGGCAGAGGAGGCAGAGGACCCTTGGGAGGAGGACCAGGGCATGGAGGGAACTGAGCGCCGACGGAAGGCATTGTGAAGGTGGTAGAGGTAGAGGTGGAGGTGGTTGTTGTAGAGTGTAGAGTGTAGAGTAGTGTAGTGTGGTGTAGTGTAGTAGTAGCTCTGATATAGAAAACACTTGAAGTATAAGTTATGGCTTGAGTTGAGAGAAGTAAGAAAAAGTTTACAGGAGCACGCGGATTCTTATAGTCGATCCGACCTTTCCACAGCTAAATTAGTCCCCTCGAACATCCCTGCCATGAACAGGAGGCTGAGGATCCACTTGATCTGACGTAGGAATTTATTGCGATTTACAAATATTTCCCCCAAGGGGAAATCCAATGGAAATTCCTCTTTTTTCTAGAAGCTCTCCACTAGTGGCGTTGTTTCTTGTGAACCACTAGTGGGAAGGAAATGAAACACGGCAGACCGTACTACCCAGTTTGCAGTGTCTGATCACTTGCGAGCCCTGGAGAGCACCTGTATCTCTCAGAATTAGGTCTCACAACCCCCTACAACATGTAAATGAAACCACGCGAGATGACAACTGGTAAAGGGCAATCTCCCGTGGGCCCACCGTGGCTCCATAGGGACGGTTCCTTGATGCGGTGAGAACGATTAGTTTCTTTTTTATTTTTTTGGTCGTTTTGTTTTCCCTTATTATTCATGGGATATCATCATCCTGATTATCTCAGATCCTCTACAGTAGGCGAAGAAGGTCCAAGCACATGCAGGTTAACTTATGACTCAACAACAGCCCGTATCCAAGCCTCCATGTCCCCGGTAGATAGACACGTGCATGTTTGCAGATCCCCAAATCAGAATGAAACAAATTAAATTCAAACAGGAAAGGAGAGAGAGAGAAAAAAAAAAAAAAAGAAACCCCCCAAAACACCGATGAGGGATCCATAATCGATTTAGGGCCAAACGGGAAGTCTGATTCGTATTGATTACAAGAACCAAAACCAAGCGTGATAGCCGAGATCCTAAAATGCCGAGCTTACAGGCCTGAAGGACAATTACAGTACGGTTGACGGTTGACGGTTGACGGTTGACGTTCCAACGATCGGACAGAAATTCAGGAACAGGCATCGCCACACAAGATGACCCATAAAGTCCCATGGTTTCTACCCGTACGACCAGATGAAGTTTAAGACCTGTAAGGATAGAAACCCCTTGGTACAAAGTAGTGCTGCTGTTCTGGGATTTAAGCGATCTCTTATCTTCACCTCCGAATAACAAATTGTCATCTGTCCATGTTTCCGTTTGACCTATAGTACGGAGTACATCACTGATTAACCCCGATATATACAGTAGTGCCCTTCATGCAGATGATCGTCTCGCTGAAAGGACAGTGCATTGCACATCATTATTTTGAAGCAACACACATCTGGAGAATATGGAGTCCACCTCCCACAACCCCCCCCCCCAACCCCTTATTGGCTACGGGCGATACAATATTGAATTTGCCCTGCCACATTGTAATGTTTTTTTTTCAGGAGATCGGCCTGATCCCTGGTGTGGCGTAGATGGCGTGCTCACCGTAACTCGGTGGACTTGATACCGTAGTATAGTAATATCTTGCGTGGACCGACTGCGTACACACATGCTAGTACTGGTAAGTTCTAGTGTATAGTGTACACTGTACTAACAGAGTGAAGACAACCATCCCCAGCTTCGGGACGTCGGGGTCCCCTCCCCGGAAAACCATGTCCCTCATCCCTCCCAATACAGACAGGTACAGCGTACACAGCTGGTTACATCCGGGTTTGCTATCGCAGGCAGAGAGATTTCTGCATATCCACATGACCCATGGAGATGCAACTTGTTCCTGTACTGTACGTATACCAGGGTCCAGAGAGAACCAGTTCGGGATTTGCACTCAAAGGAGCAGGTAAAAAGAATTACTAATTGGGAGACTCCCGTTCCTCCGTGCTTCGTACACTACGAGAAAGTGGGGGAGAGTGGCAAATGCACTTATGCGACCACACGGGTGTACCTGAACTAAGGCCGGGGGACCCGAGAAAAGGAGGCAAGCTGGAAAAAAACGGGACACATGGCAAGGAAAACTCTAACTAGCGGCCTGCAAACTTCAATAATGCCTAGTTGGGTTAAAGTAGCTCCACTTGGATGGAGACTACATCTCACCGTTCCGCACCGTTGGAATGAAAGCGTGGAGTCGGAGATTTTGGAAGAGCAGGATTGGGAACACATCGGGATTTGAGGGTACTGTAACTCCGTTCGATCGCTGGGTTGGAAGCTTGCTGATTGGGTGGTGGCCGTGTCCAGGGTGTCAATGTTCATGTATACTATCTCGAACTATTGGAATACTGGAGATCGGTGACTGTCTGTGCCCCTGGGTGTTATATCAGATTCTGTAACATTCTATCTGAATCTTCCGAGCCCGGCACATTGGAAAATCTCTGATGAACAGAGTGTCGGCTAGGGTCATGGGACCAGAAGAAACCGACTGTTTCATGTTGCGCTCCACTTGAAAATCTTCTAGTTCGCCTTCTGGAATAGCGGGCCGAGGTTGGGGGGGCCAAACCACATGTAGACTGGGTGGAATCAAAATAAGACATTTGTGGGCACTTGAACCTGGTCTGTATTTTGCAACCGAAACATGCAAACCAAAGTCAAAATGATCTTATGGTTTTGTGGCACGCAGATCATCGAGATGCCACTGGTGCAACCGGCTCAAACACCTGTGGCTGAACATTTTCGTCTCAGCGGCTGTGTGTGAGCTCCATCCCTGTAGGATCAGCCACATGCGTAACCCTCAGCTTCGCTTGCCGGTTACACCGACGACTTGCCGAAGGCATTACATAGCAAGTCCTGCAATGACCCGTGCTGAATGTACCCTGAGGTCACACCAGCCCTGTAGTTCTTGGCTTGATCAAGGTGCCCACGGCCCATGACATGTATACAAGACCTGGTCTCAACACTGCAATTGCACAGATTCATAGCGTTTGCAGGGAGTTGAAACACTTGCAACGCTACTTTTCACATGTATCACAGGATGTTGATCACGCCACCACGGCTGCCCACCGTTCGAGGAGGGGGAGACACAGCTTGCCCATAGGCATCCTACTCACTCCAAGGCATGGGCCTACTACCACAGGAGTATCTCAATCCTCGTCGACGGATGTCTGGGCTTGGGTTGAAATCCATTCCTCCATCAGAGGTTGCTTGGGTTCAGCACTTAGCTTGGTCTTGTCACCTTTGCGGGTGATCAATAGACACAACACCCATCCACAAATATTGAAGCTTTCGTAGTGTGTACTGAAACGAAGCTTCTTCTCTTCGCTTACGTCCTCGGCTTTCTTCCCCGTCTTTTTCTGTCTTGTTCTCTCTGGCATATCCGCCGCTTCATCCGCCCCAGGGATAACGTGCAATTCATCAACCTCCCCATCACTTTCTATTAAGATTTCATCCTCGGTCGAGCCTGGATTTATGATCCCATCACCATCTTCTGGCTTGATTTTGGGTTGATTGTTGCCGTGGAAGGTCTTATTGCGCGTGAGAAGGGAGTGACGAGTGCGCGATTCGCGCAGGAAAATGGCTACTTCAAACTCATCTAGGCAAGCATTAGCAATCACTTCACCAGATAGACCCTTCTCAGCTTACCTTCTGAAATGACATCCTTGACTGCTTTCCCCTTCTTGCGCAGAAAGAGTCGCTCATTCTCTTCGCGCAGCTTGGGCAGGACCAGCGGCCGGATGGCCTCAAAGACGCGTGGGAGGACAGGATCCCGAGAGTCCAAGAGCCATCTTGAATCGGATGGAGAGTCGAGGTAGATCCGACACTCCAAGACCGAGTATTTGCTGATGCGCAGGTATCGTCGAATGGGAGCCATGGTGATGAAATGAAGTTGAAGCTCTCGATGACCTCAGGTCAATGCCAAGCATTTTTACCGCCGAATATCTGATTGGCAATGGAAACGCCCATCCAGGGATACAAACTTCCCTTTCACATCTTCCATGTTTCTGAGTACCTGATCCATCGATCGGAGCCTCTACTTGTATATCTATAAGCTTTTCACTCGAGGATATCTCTCTTTAGGGACTCGGAGCTGGCTATCTCCCCACGTGACTCCAACCACCGCGACCGGAAAGAGATGACCGTCCCCAAGGTCCTCACTCCCGTACTGGGTACATCCGGCCACACCCAATTTAATATGGGCCTCGAGGTACCAGGTACCCGCCATCTCTCGCGCAAAACTGCTTGACGTCTTCGAGTCTCCCAAGGTCCCCATGAAATCCCACTCTGCCCCCCGCCGGGAATTATAAACGGATCCCGCAAATTCTGTTCTTTGATTCCCAACTATTGGTGATTCTCCAAAGCTTTTGTGTACAGGCTTTTGGTACAGGCTTTTGGTAAACCCTGACCTTTGGGGCTTTTTTCAAACGTCTTCTTGACCGACTCAGACGTGTGTCGCCAGAAGAGGAAGTTCATCTTGCATCTTCTATCGTAATTGTCCAATCGTACGAGAAAGTGTGGTTGAAGGTTCAGGATTGTCAGGATAACCTGGTTGTTTCCTGCGTGACGCTAGCAACACATCTCGCCTACTGTCGAGGACCTTGCGGGTTATAATCTCCACCACGCTGTTGCACGACATTTCGATTGCAATCCTCCGACGTTAACTTTTTCGTTTATCAATTCACCTTTCCACCTGCAAGTTTCCGTGGTACTTGGGTCTACCTTTGTCTATCTCTGTTCAGTCTCTTCTATCTCAACCGTGATGGAATCTGTTCTTCTCAAACGGGCTGATGCCTGTGACTCTGGCAATGAGTTTGACGGCCGTCTAGGTCTGCGCATCTCTTCCATCTTTGTGATCATGATTGGCTCTATGTTCGGAGCTTTATTCCCTGTCTTTGCCCGTCGCTTTGGCAAAGAAGGGGGATTCCCCAAGTGGTGCTTCTTCATCGCCAAGTACTTTGGATCCGGTGTCATCATCGCTACTGCCTTTATTCACCTGTTGGCTCCGGCCGAGGAGGCTCTGACAAATCCGTGTCTGACCGGTCCCATTACCGAATACAGCTGGGTCGAAGGCATCGTTCTAATGACTATCATTGTCCTGTTCTTCGTCGAGTTGATGGTGATGCGCTTCTCTACCTTCGGCCAAGGCCATGTGCACGACGAAGAGGAGCACTCTCACGTTCAAATCGAAGAGCCTGCTGTCAATGAAGTTGGCGAACACAAGAACCACCTTGTTGGAGAAGACCACCTTGGTCACGGTCGCGAGCATCATGATAGCGACTCCGATAACGAAAAGGACCCCGAGGCAGCTGAGGACTATGCCGCTCAACTCACATCCATTTTCATCCTGGAATTCGGCATTATCTTCCACTCTATCTTTATCGGTCTCACTCTTGCAGTGTCTGGTGCCGAGTTCACTACCCTTTACATCGTTCTCGTCTTCCATCAAACCTTCGAAGGCCTTGGACTTGGTGCCCGTTTGGCCACTGTCCCGTGGCCCAAGTCAAAACGTCTCACCCCCTACATCCTCGGCCTGTGCTTCGGCATATCTACTCCCATCGCCATTGCCATTGGTCTCGGTGTTCGAAACAGTTACCCGCCAGAGGGCCGAACTACCCTCATTGTCAATGGTGTCTTCGACTCCATCTCGGCCGGCATTCTGATTTACACTGCCCTTGTCGAGTTGATGGCCCACGAGTTCATGTTCAGCAGCTCCATGCGCAAAGCTCCTATCCGTGACGTGCTGGTTGCGTTCGGCCTGCTGTGTGCTGGCGCTGCCCTCATGGCCCTGCTGGGCAAGTGGGCTTAGATTGTTGATTCAACAAGCAAAGTCCTGGAATTTATTCCTAATCATGAGTCATGACCTTGTCTTCTTTTATCATATTGCTTTATAGATGCGTGCCTTTTTTTTTTAAACATCTGTGATACCCACGGGATCCGAGCTATGCACATGTCGGCGTTATTAGCGACTATATCTACCTACTTCAGTTTCTATGGAATAGAAACCTATTGAACAATTCTCCAATGATACAATAAGTGAATAGCCTCAGACAGCAGAACCTAAGATAATAAGCCTCGATATATATTTCTCGCCAACGCAGTTCAACGGGGATGTACATGGGCCACATACCATTAAACATATTCAAGCAGATCCTCAACGGCAAGTCCCGAAGCCGAGGTGTTTACTTTACTGTTTCTAAACTTAATTTAATTGCCCTCATAGGGCTGCTCGAGGGACGTTCAAGATTACCCGCGTATGAGTCGACCTGTCCTTAGACTGGTGGCACTGAGTTAACTTTCGAACCTGACCACAGCAGTGCTACTTCCCCTCGAAAGCTCACTTCCGACTTTCTCTCAACTCTTGCTCAACTTCACTTCGTGGACTACCAAGATGTCTGTCGAGCGTGTTATTTCGGAGAGTGACCTGACTGCGCTCCCAGAGCACGATGGACGAGAGCACATCTCCACCTCAAGCCTTGCTATCGCGAGAAACGGGCACTCAAACGACGTGTCGAAGAAGAGACAGAGTCTCTCGGACTTGTTCACCATCGTGAGTGTGCTCTCACCAGCACAGCTGAAATCTGTACTCGCTGTTCTCGCAAGTAATCAGCCAAATTGATGTGTCAATAGTTTGCTTGCGGCTTTGCTCTGATCAGCGATGGATATCAGAACAATTTAATGTAAGCTGAAATTGTCCTTTCTCCCTCAAGATCGAATAACAACTCTGAACGGCTGACTACAGGACCATGACCAATGTCCTCCTCAAGGCCGAATATCCCAAGAAGTACACCACCGCCGTCAGCACGCGTGTGTCTAATGCACTACTGGTCGGCGAAGTTCTCGGCCAAGTTATCATCGGGTCAGAGGCATTCCTCCAGTCTAACAATGGTGTGATCTGACAATATCCAGATTGACGTGCGACTACCTGGGCCGCAAGACCGCCATCATCTTCACCACTCTCATGATCGTCATTGGAGGAATTCTTGCTACAGCCTCAAACGGTGTGACTATCGATGGCATGTTCTGGATGATGACTATTGCGCGCAGCGTTGTTGGGTTTGGTACGTGAGCCCTAATTCAATTCCACCGAGAATCATATACCCCAAGAGCCATTAGTTGAAGGATGCAATATGAACTATAAAATACACCCGATTCTAAATATCAGACCAGGCGCTGGTGGCGAATATCCCGCATCCTCAACCGCAGCCTCAGAAGCAGCAAATGATCTCGTGCCTCAACGCCGAGGCCCGGCCTTCATCATGGTCACCAACTTCCCCCTATCATTCGGAGGCCCGTTCGCGGTATCAATCTTCCTGATCGTTCTCTGCGCCTGTAACCAGACACACTACAGCACCGTGTGGCGAGTATGTTTCGGCATCGGATGCATCTGGCCATTATCGATCTTCTACTTCCGAATCCGCATGCTGAACTCTGTCCTCTACCGCCGCGGCGCAATAAAGAAACATGTCCCTTACAAACTCGTGTTGCGATACTACTGGCGATCGTTAATTGGAACATGCGGTGCATGGTTCCTCTATGGTAAGAAACGAAACATCGAAAAAGAATCCCCATCTAACAACCAACCGACCTAACCAATCCATTCCAGACTTCGTGACCTTCCCGAACGGCGTCTTCTCAGGCACGATCATCTCCTCTGTCGTACCCAAGGGCACAATCCTCCAAACGGGCGAATGGCAACTCCTCCTCGGCGCCATCGCCCTGCCAGGCGTGTTCCTCGGTGCTCTTCTCTGCGACAAGCTCGGCCGAAAGCCAATAATGATGCTAGGCTTCAGCGGGTACCTCATCTTCGGCCTGATAATCGGCTGCGCGTACGACCGCATAACGAAAATCGTCCCTCTCTTCGTGGTCTTCTACGGGCTCATGCAGAGCTGTGGCAACTTCGGACCTGGAAACATGCTCGGACTTATCTCGTCTGAGTCTTATGCTACTGGTGTCAGAGGGACGTGTTATGGGCTTTCGGCGGCTATTGGGAAGGCTGGGGCTGCGGTGGGCACGCAGGCTTTTTTGCCGATTAAGAGTCACTTGGGGGATAAGTGGACTTTTATCATTGCTGCTATTTGTGGAGTTGTTGGTGTTGTTGTTACCTGGGTTTTTGTGCCGGATTTGTCGGGGGAGGATCTTAGGGTTAGGGATGAGAAGTTTCGCGCTTACCTAGTTGCTCGGGGTTGGGATGAAGATATGGGAGAGGGCGATTTAAAGGCTCTGGCCGATCAGGGCATCAATTCTGGGGAAGCTGTCTCTGTACCGCAGTTAGCTAAGTAAGGGCTAGGGTTATCGATCAAGTTGTGTACCTGTCACGGCCTTGAAGGATCGGATGGTACAAGGCTGGATCAACAGTGCGGCTAGCTAGGTCATTTCTGAGCCACAATGCTACATGAAATTCAACGGAGCAGATGGCTATACCTAAGCAACAGAACAAGCCATTCCCTTCATTCCACAACGTGCATGCATTACCAGCAGTTTATACTTCAGCACAGACCAACGCTAATCCGCCCGAGAATGCAACGCCCAATCTGTCCTCTATCCGACCTCCACCTGCACCTCTCCGCATCCCTCCAATCCACCCAAAATGCGTTTCACCTCCATCCTCGTCGCAGCTTTAAGCTCCCTCGCTGCCGCCGCCGAGCTCGGCATCGAAACAACCCACGCAGTCGAATGCACCCGCAAGACCGTCAAGGGCGATGGCGTCTCCATGCACTACAAGGGAACCCTGCAGTCCGACGGCTCCGAATTCGACTCTAGCTATAAGCGTCATGCGCCGTTGACTTTCAAGCTTGGTACTGGCCGGGTTATTAAGGGGTGAGTTTTGATTGTTTGGGATTTAGTGTTTTTGTTTTGTTTTGTTCTGGATTTGGACTTGGTCAATTAGACTGGGCTGGATTGGCTATTACTATTTATGTTTTGGGAACACCTTGTGCTAATGCGTATATCTCTGTTTAGATGGGACCAGGGCTTGTTGGATATGTGCATTGGCGAGAAGCGCACGTTGACTATTCCTCCCGAATTTGGCTACGGCGACCGTGGTATTGGACCTATCCCCGGTGGTGCGACCTTGATCTTTGAGACGGAGTTGGTTGCCATTGAAGGCGTTGATAAGGATGAGCTGTAAAGGGACTTGAAGTCGCTTCGCTGATTCCTTGAGAATTATAACGGAATGAAATGGGATTGTTTATACTTCCACAGAGTATGTATGCTAGTATGTGGTATCATATAGATTATGCAATGCCTCTATAAGCAGGAGGGTATCTCGTCTAAATGTACACTGTACAGAGAAAGGCAGAAGTAAAGAAATCAAGCTCCAGGACCCGGCGTCGTCTCAATCCATGGCATCCAAGGTATTCTCGGCATGGAGATCATTTTCAGAAACCAATATTCCAATCAAACACTCGCCAAGAATCCCTTCCCAGTTAACCCACGGGTGAATCTCCTGGAAGAGCTTTGCAGAGTCCTTCCCCGCACCGCGGAGGAGCTCACCCTTACCACCTGGATGGTAAGGCGCGTACGGCGAGATATTGTATACTTTGCCGTGGTACGAGGTCCATGCGTCTCGGCCCTTGCGCCCATGTTGCTCTTTCAGCATGGAAGGTGTCACGCGGAGTAGACCCGGTGGTACATCTTTGCCGCGGAGATTGTTGTTCGGGTTCGAGGTCAGGGCGGCCCAGTCTAAGGGGGAGAAGCCTGGCTCAAGGATGACTTTCTTCGATTTGGATTTGTTCAGGATCACTGGTGTCGGGGCTAGCGTGCTGCTACTTAGACGGTTGTTGTTGGTTGGGGGTCCGCGCTGGGAGGATGCCGCTGATGGGGGTGGGCCGCGGGGGCTGCCCGAGAGACGCGGGGGCTGTAGACTCGGTGGCGCGAGGCTGTTGGTTTGCGATGGACGGAGTTTGGGGCCTGGGGGTGGGGGTGGTGGCATTAGGGAGCCGCTCGTTGCCGTTGTTGATTGTTGTCGCGGAGGACCGAGGGATGGTGGCTGGGACTTGGGTGTCGCATTATCGCGATCTGTTGCTGTGGACTGCCCGCCTCGTAGGAACTGCGGAATGGATGGCATTGTCGAGTTGCTTGTTTCGCTGTCGCTGCTATCGAGGCTGAGCGAGGGGACCGCAAGGATCGGCAGTGGTGCGCTCGAAGCCGATGCCTTGGGTGTGCTTTGAGAATCCTCCTCCTCTGTTTCTATTATTGGCGTTGAAGGCCTTGGCTCATGCTTTTCCGGTACGGGCTCGTCGGGAGTGGAAGTGGTAACAAGTGCTTCGGGTTTGAGTTCCGGAGGGGGGAGAGGACGGGGCTCGGTCCAGCTGCGAGGTGGGTAACGATAAAGAAAATATACCGTTGTTGCAACGACGATACCTGCTCCTACCCAGCCCATACCGAAACGGGCGAGAAGTTCAAGGTGTGCGATACAAGAGTCAAAAGAGTGCTTAGAATCACTGTAATGCAGATTCGCCGAAATATATGGTCCGTGCGCGCCATATCAACCAGATCAGATCTTTGCAGCATTCAGGGTTCAGAAGCCAAGCATGAAGTTCGTGACTCGCAGATTACCTATATATTTGTTGCTTACAGTATTCTCATATTCAAGATCATGTTTAGCATTGATGAAGAGATGAAGCTTCTTAAGCACGAGACACTGTACCCAATACGGACTGTTCCATGCAAAGGCAATGCAGACCATATGGATTGTCTGAGGAAGGAATAGACTCCGGGCAGGGATTTAGAGCACCAATGAATTACCTACATACCAAGATAGTTTGAACACATAGGGGCAATAGTGCTCATGATGTCAGGACATCATCACCCCCCAAGGCCACAGACTTTATGATAGACCCTGTGTAATGTATGACTTCTCAGACACACAGCGCGATCTCTACGCAAACATGGTCCTTGCGCATAAAGCTGTGAGAGACCGAATACTCCAGGAAAAGAGCATTTCTAGCTCCGATGCGGTTACCCTGTTTGATGTAGGGTCTGGACAAGTAGGTATTCTAACATCCAGTGGTAGCCTTGCACAATAAAGCTGAACAGTTGCAGGCACAAGGAAGTAGGCCGTTCCAGGAGGACCGATGTGTGGTGGCTTTTCCGGACCAGTTTCCCTCGAAAGTAGAGGACAACGTTGCGTTTTTCGCAATCTATGATGGCCAGTAAGTAATTTCCAGTCTCCCATCCCAGATTTTAACTCTGACCATTCATCCCAGTGGATCTGGGCTTGTTTCAGATCATGTCAGTCAGACCCTGCATCATATAGTTGGTAAACGCCAGGAGTTCGAACGAGGAGACTGGGCGATAGCCATCAAGGCAGCACTCGAAGAAGAAGACAACATTTTACTCGAAAGGTTCAAGCACGAATCTGCCGAGCCTGCCCTATCCGGGTCAACAGTGGCAATTTGTTGCATTAACCTCACGGTTGGAGAGCTGGTTGTGTCCAATCTGGGTGACTCGCATGTTATCCTGGCGGAGCGAGATCCCAAAACAGAGCACCCGTATCACATTGTATGCACTACGCCCGATAGCGAAGGTGGTTTTCAAGGGAGCTAATCACCACACTAGCGACGTCTTACAGAGGCTCACAAGCCGGAGGTGCCGAGTGAAAAGGCTCGTATCGAAGCAGCAGGCGGGACAGTTACCGTTAGGAGTGGAACGCCACGTCTTGGTATGTTTGGCACCAGTGAAAGAACCCCAGTGAAATGAACCAGCCTGACCGGTGAGCAGGGGCATTAAATATGTCCCGGGCATTAGGCGACCTGCAGTACAAGAACCCGGTCAACACCTTTGACCCGGTCCCAGACCCCGCCTCTTCAGCCTCGAGCCGGTCGGAATCACGGGGGAACTTCCTATCCAATGATCCCTACACCTCCCGACGGACGTTGCACTCCGATCGTCGATACTTACTAGTGATGGTATCAGACGGGGTCAGCGACCAGGTGGACGACGCCAGTCTGGTGCAACACGTGATGAAGTTGTCAATGCGGGGGAAACCGGCCAGTGAGATTGCAAAGGAGATTGTCACCAATAGCACAGCCCATCAACATAGTGACAATGCCTCGTGCATTGTGGCCATGTTGGATGGCCAAGGATCATGATCGTGATCGTGATAGGAAGTATAACCAAGATCTATGAGATCTCTGTACTACGTAACTCCCTAATTGGGTCAAGCGCCGGAGGGCAAATTGTGTTATGCATGACCCGTTCCATGGTTCACTCCTTACCCAATTAAGAAGGTGGTTGGAGTCAGGTTTGGCCGTTGGACGAGCTGCTATTGGTGCTGGGGATTTCGGTGCTTTTGCTGTTTCTAGGGTCTTTCAATTCTTGGTTTCTCGGTTTCTTGGTTCCAGAAATCAAGACACGTTGTGATTGTGGCGTTTCGTATATCTCCGACGATATCCATTTTTTTAGTCTTCGGCTTTCCCCTTTCTGGTGCTGGAGGTTGAAAGTCTCATACAATATGCATAGAAAGAGAAACTAGAGTTAGAACTAGCAACCGGCTTTTCCGTGAACCCCCCGCCCTACAAGCTTATCTCCCTTCATAGGTCGCTTCATGCCGCCCTTTTGCCTTCAATAGATCCAAACCCCAGCTTTGACAGGGACCCAATCTGCTGGAAACCTGTCAAACTCCTTTAGGCAGGCGATTGAGTCTCGCACAAGTGGACCCTAGAAAGAGAAGAAAAAAAAAGAAAAAAAGAAGCACACTACGCGGGCTCTAGCCACCTTCCAGAACGGTCAATCCTGAAGAGGATCTCAACGTACATAATTGCCGTTTCATCCATCATTCCACACATTCTTTCGTTCCATTCTTGTGGTTCCATTTAACTCCGCTATTGTCCGCATTTCTCTAAATGATTCTCACACAATCCCGGACACCGTCTCAAGCTTGCAGCATGGCATCTAAGCAATGGAGTAACTTCCACGTTGGAAGAGAGTGTGGCCACCAGAAGTGGTCTCGCAACAACACTCCCAAAGTGACCGTTTCCTCAGGTGAGACGGTCTCCTTTGACGCCATCGACAGCAGCAATGGTCAACTCGACATCACATCTCAGGCCTCAGCCATCAGCACCCTGGATCTAGGCCTCGCCAACCCAGTCTTCGGCCCGATCTACGTCAACGACGCCCAACCTGGCGACGTTCTGAAGGTGGAAGTTCTGAACCTCGAAGTCGCCGACTGGGGCTGGTCCGCCATCATCCCAGGCTTTGGACTGCTGGCAGACGAATACCCAGAGCCAGAGATCAAGATCTGGACCCTGAACCGCGAAGCAGGCTTCGCTCAATTCAAGGACATGCGCATCCCCCTCCGCCCCTTCCTCGGCTGCATGGGCCTCGCCCCGGCCGGTGATGAGGAGCTCTCCACGGTCCCGCCCACCAACGCCGGCGGCAACATGGACTGCCGTGAGCTGAGCGTCGGCTCGACCGTCTACCTCCCCGTGCAGACAGCCGGCGCACTGTTCAGCTGTGGCGACGGCCACGCCGCACAGGGCCACGGCGAGGTCTGCGGTACCGCCATCGAAACCCCCATCCGGGCAACGCTCCGCTTCGAGCTGGTCAAGAACCAGCCCTGGATGACCGCTCCCCAATTCCAGACTCCACCGCGTGCGCAAATACCGAACCCTCTCCCCGACCTCGGAACCTACGGCGCTCTCGGCGTTGCTCCCGATCTGTACGAGGCTACCCGCAGTGCGACTCGCAACCTTATCCAGTGGCTGGTGCAGACTAAGGGTCTTACTCGCAGCGAGGCCTACATCCTTGCCAGTGTTGCTGGCGATCTGCAAATTGCAGAGGTGGTCAACGTGCCCAACTTTGAAGTGGCCATGACCCTGCCATTGGGCATTTTCTCTTAATGTGAGACGTCTAGTAGACACGTTTTTTTATTTCTCTTTTTCTTTTTTTGGTGGGGGGATTTGGTATGGTGGAGTGATACCCTGAATAATGAGTTTTGATTTTGCCTCTATTTTGGACATATACAGCGGTGTGGGTCAGGGGTGATGTATTTGCATTCAGGCAAGCGTCACTCAAGCGAGCATTCACATGAACATATTAACATACACCTATTCACATAATACAATATAACTGACTACAATTTTTCTTCTTGCTCTATGAGATCTGAGACATGGCTTCGATTCAAACTTAATTTAAGCGACTTGGAAGCACAGAAGGCGTATTTCAGTCCCGGAGAACGGAGAACGAGAGCGCCATCGCCGTCAAGGGCCTCACCGTCAAGGGTCTGGCCGTCAACCATCTCCTATTTCTTATGTTGCATTGTGTTCCGGACTCAGCCACACAAGGACTGCCCGTCCCACTTTGGCCAGGATAGGCAGGTCAGACTTGGGGATGACGGAAGGCACAGGGTCCACTGATCGGTGAACATTCAGCATAGGAGGTTTGTCAACAATTAGAAATTACTTGTCGAGGTTATTCAGTGGGCAAATCGGGGAGGGTGTTGGGGCTTCCGGTCGCTTATTTGCTTACGAGTTTGATATCAAGTTTGGGCAGTTCAATTATCCGGAGATAACCGTATGCTCTGTATGTGGCTAGGGGTTGATTGAGTCATACTTGGAGGATCGTATTCGCAAAGCATCGTGCTGAGGTCACCATGAAGTGAAATCGACTCCTATCCTTCTATCTATATGGTATATCGAGTAGGGTATGTCTGCTTTGCAGCTAAGATCTTTCTAGCTAAGAAAGTATTCAGTGACTTTTCCTCGGGAGCAAGTATACAACGTTGTAATAGTTCTGATTTAGTGATGCCTTTCATCGTCCCGGGAGAGATATAGCTCAACGGCCATGAAAGCCTAGCAAATACCTTGCGAAGTTGCCCGGTTATACTGTTCGGGAGTCAAGTTCCTCTTCTTCTGCCCTAATTATCAACTCGTGAAGCAGTGTTCAAGCTACAGTACTATCAAGCCCCTCAGCATTTCTCTAGTGGAGTTTGAGACGGGGCTACCGGGCTTGCATAAACAGGTAGCCAATAGTATCCTATTGTTTCAAATCAGGTTGTAGTACTTTATTTGGTTCATCCAAGGATCCTGTACATAAGAATACTTCCCGCGTGGAGATCGGCATACCATACTGTCGGTTAGGACCGCTTGAGGTTGTTGGGGTCATCGGATGATGGCATAATATCATCAAAGCTGGTAGGGTAAGTGTACAGTAACGCCATCTGTGTTGGAGACTTGGAGACCAGTGACAAAGTGGCTCATGTCTCCTTCCTATTTGGAAGATGATTAGAATTCCGAGAATAGAAACCTTCCACAGTCCACATATACTATAATCTACTCTAGGCATGCTGCATCGTCCGGGCAGAAGCATAAAGAGACTGGCAGTTCCACAGACGGGCTGCGTTATTATGTATAAATTAATTGTACTGTATTTTGAACTGATAGGATAGAGGCTACCGGGTGCTGGAAACTGATGTTCGGTCAGTCAGTGCTATCGCGGTGTGGGCCATTTGATATTAGTTCTATTATTGCGGTGCCCCCTTTTTATCTGAATCTTCAAGTCTGCAAGCAAAGGGACTGGCTCTGTGTAATGCAATCTGGATTCAACACATCGGTTGCGGTGAGACTTAGAGTGATGTGTGATCTATGTTCGTGAGTCTAGGATAAACAAATGCATTCGTCTTTCACTCTTTGGCAAATGATCCACTATATATGGTATGAAAGGTCCATGACGTTTCCTTTCTTGTAAGTTCTCCGCACCTGAGAGATGATAAGACCTACAGTACATCCTGCGTGTTCGTATACGACCCAATGAGAGCCGATGTAACAAGCGGGCCCAGGACGGAAGCCACAACACAAAGAAGACAGATAGTCGGTTCATTTGCACACTTGTTCATCTTTGATATTCCCTTTTCAGTCACATCTAGACATATTTTTGTACTGGAAGCGGAAGACACATGCTGATCGTTGTGAGTATTCCACCATCCTCTCATTGAGAGGCAGACGTAGTGATCGAGATTTGGCGACGACAGTGACTCCTGATACCGCGGGAATGCCGAGAAACACTGAGAAACGAATATCTCAGTATCTGTATGTATAATGGCATTGGATTGTTGCCTCGGACTACGTGCGAGGGTCTTTAAAGGTGGAAATGCTATCTTTGACCAGAGGCACGGCTCTCCGATAGGATTGTAGGACGAAAGAAAGGCAGGAACTCTAACCAGTATCTTCGGGTCTAACCTTTGCGCGAATATTGCCTCTATACCCAGTTCGCACTTCAACAGTCCTACTAGAAGAGCAGGTTGAACATGGAAACATACGAGCAAGATTATGTTACAGTTCTCATGGGTCTCTCATGGGAACACGATTTAAACCTTGGTTGACTTATTGTTGAGTCGTATGGCTCCCCTTATTGATATGTCAAGAGACGGACAAATGGCAAACGAGTTTTGGTTTCGCGAGCTAGCCTTTAGGTAAGGCGCCTTTCAACCCTCATTCAGCTGGGAACGCCGGGTCTTCCGTTGGAAAGTCTTCCATATTTCCAGTTAGTCTGCCAGACTTCTTGCTACTTTCAGTTACCAAGTGAGACTCGGAATCTAGAGCGCCTTCTTTGAAGTCATCGGGGAAGGAAGTGTCCTTGAAAAACTCTCTACTTATAGTCAAGGAATAGTCCAAAGCTACAACATCCGAGTACTCACTCAGTATGAGAATTCAGGTAATAAGATGAATCTTGTTACGATTGAGGAAGCAGATGTTTTGGAAGAAATTACACCAACGCGGTTAGAGATCGTGATGCCTGGTGCTTGACACACGTTGTAAGTGTCTTTCTTTCTGCCTTTCTTCTCATTCAATGAGAATTACAAGCCGCTATGTGAAGTTCAAACATTGCAAATAAGGTTTAGGAATTAACACCGTCCAATTTGATGTGCTTGCTTCGGGAATAGCTTGTATAAGACCGAGATGTTGTTGACCAACCGGCGCTCAACTAGAGTCTTATAAGCTTCGATTCACAAACCACTTCAACTGAATTGATCCGCTTCAATTGAATACAACTCATCAAAATACGCAATATACCATTGAAACATTGTTTATCCTCTATCAACCTCCTCGGAGGAACGTGTCACATGACACCGCGTTCCCTCGCGTCATCCCCTCACAAGAACTCGAACAAGACCGACCACCCATCATGCCATGGATCCCATCTTAGATGGACTAAATCATGCGCAGCGCGAGGCTGTCACCTCGTCCGGCTCAATTCTACAAGTGCTTGCCCCTCCAGGCTCCGGAAAGACAAAAACTTTAACAGCGCGCGTCGCGTACCTCCTCGCCCACCATGGATACCAACCACAAGATGTTATCTGTTGCACGTTCACAATCAAGGCCAGTCGTGAGATGCGAGAACGCCTGGCCAAGCTCATTGGTGAAAAATCCGAATCGCGCCTGATTCTGGGCACTTTTCACTCGATTTGTCGTCGGTATCTGGTCAAATACGGGTACCTAATTGGTCTGCGGAAGGGATTCGGCATTGCTGATTCGGATGATACACGCGCCATCATGAGAGTATGCTTTGGATTCATCGTTCAGTTGTGTCTTGTGATTTGATCTCTAATTGTGGTGACAGCGAACTATCAAACGACTCAAGTCGAGCATTGAACCTAAAGCGGCCCAGGGCCGTATCTCACGTCACAAGGCCCATGGACGCAGTCCAGAGGCTGTGGCTGCAAAGGCCAAAGCAGAAGAGCAGGAGCTAGTCGATATCTATCGCGACTATGAATCAGCTTTGGCGGCTTCCAACCTCTTAGACTATGATGACCTTCTTCTACGCTGTGGGGATCTTCTTCGCGAGCATCCACAGTGTGTCTCTAATGTGCAAGCTGTGCTTGTGGATGAGTTTCAAGATACCAACATCATTCAGTATGAATTAATGAATCTGTTTGCGTCAAAGAACAGACGGATCACCATCGTTGGTGATCCTGACCAGAGTATCTACGGATTTCGTTCTGCGGAAATTGCGAATCTAAAGCGAATGCAGCGGCAGTACTCTAACACCACGGTTGCCCTCTTGTCGGATAATTACCGGTCTTCAGCATCTATCTTGAACTCAGCGCAAGAAGTTATTGAGCAAGATACGAGTCGACCTGCCAAGGCACTGCAGGCGACTCATTCGTTTGGAACTTTGCCAGTGCTGAGGAAGCTGCCAAACCCTGGCGCAGAGGCCAAATGGATGGTGCTTGAAATCAAGCGTTGCGAAGCGATGACTGGTGGTTTATTGCGCATGTCTGACTTTGCTGTCTTGCTTCGGTCGGCTTCTCTATCTACGCAAATTGAGACAGCATTTGGAAGAGCAGGTATACCGTACAAGATGGTCGGGGGACGCAAATTTTTTGACCGGACTGAAGTCAAGGTCCTTCTGAATTACATGAGAGTCGTCAGTCACACGGGGCACTCGGATGCGCTGTTAAACATCGTAAATGTTCCACCTCGAAGAATCGGTGATGAAACGATCAAGCAACTGACGGGTGGCGCGGAGAAAGCCAAGATTCCATTGTGGGATTTCATCAAAGATGTCGTTCAGGGCCGTCGGTCGACAGAGAAAAAGCTTCAAAAGGCTGCTGAGCAGGGACTCTGCGCTTTAATGAAGCTTATTGAGGCTTCACGTCAAAAATTGCAGGATTGTGAAGATGCATCAGCTCCGCGTATTTTGATTGAGTTCATCACGGAACGTCTCTCCTTTCAAGAATACCTGATCAGGGCATATCCCCTTGACGAAGACAGTCGCTGGGCAAACGTCAAGGAATTGATGCACCAGGCCGCCGAGGTCGCAGTTTTTGAAGAAGATGAGGTTGACAAAGAAATGGATCTTCCGGAGATCGAAGGCGTGGAACAACAACAGGCACATGCAGGTGAGGAAGCTCTCACTCGGTTCCTTGCAAACGTTGCGCTGGCCACGGAGATTACCACAAAAGAAGAAGAGCAGGAGGGTGATAAACCCCGGGAAAAAGTGACCATCTCGACCATCCACGCTGCGAAGGGGTTGGAGTGGCCTGTTGTCTTTGTTCCTGCTGTGTACAACGGAAGTATCCCTCACTCACGTGCAGAAGTGGTTGAAGAAGAGAGACGATTATTGTATGTGGCAATGACCAGAGCTCAAGCACTGCTATACCTGAGTCTCCCCGTTCGACAGCCCAGGCTAGGTGAGGGAGAAGATGGTTCGACGACTTTGACGCCCTTTCTTCCGCCAAAGTTGGTCACGAATCGTTTCCGATTAACAGGGCCTTCACTCCATGAGAAAGTGGTATATTCCATTGCAGATATTCTGCGTCGCCCTCACCCGTCTCTCGATGACATGTATAAGGGGCTCGCCCAACTTCCATCGACGCTGGACGACCGATGGACACCTGAAGGAGAAGAAGATCGCAGCAAGTTCGATGGCACATCCGTCCACGATGTTGACGAGCCAAATCCCAAACGACGCCGGTCAGACATGAACCAAGGATCAGGCTCAACTACCTACATGTCCTCGTCCGGATATACTATGAATAACTCGACCCAATTTACAGTTCCCACCACCGTTTCATCAGGATTTACATCTGCCCGAGACTATATTACAGCCAATCCAGAACCGCCCGTGGAGTCGGTCTCCAAGTCTAAGCCTCCTGCAGATGCAGCAGTGGTAAACAAGCCTAATGCATCCAGCAGTGTCCGGAAAGACGGCCTCACACAGGCCAGCATCTCCAACTTCTTCGGTGGACCAGGGCTCCAAAAGAGAGAGCCCGTCATAAGCGGCCGTCCACAACCACAGCCCCAACCAATCCGTAGATACGGGCAACCAGCTCCGAACCAATATCCCACGCAAAGCGTTCCACCGACCCTATCCTCGCACCGCGTGCAGCAACGACCCCTTCAACCATCCCGGCCGACGCTGGAACCGACCAATCCGAATGGCTACACGTGGATGGCGGGTCCATCAAGACCAGGACCGAAACCCAAGATGTCGGTGACGCAGGAACAGACCGGAAACAATGATTCTGCAGGGACCGGAGGGACCGGGGCGAGCGAGGCGAAACCCGAGACCTCCACCCGAGGATTCCAGGCCGTCTCGACGTTTCACACTACGACCATGTCAATGGTCCAACAGGCACCACGCCGGACACTCGGTATACGACGGAGCATGAATGGATGGCAAGATCGGATGAAGCGAGATGGCGGTGGGCATGTGAGCTGAGAGCTGAGGGGATTTCAAGGGAGGCTGGTCGCTGGTCTAGAATGGTGACGACGAGGCCACGGGACTGGGTCAGAAGGCAGGTTCTCACAATTGCACAGTTCACCGTTGCTAGGGAGCCTTCACTTGGGAAGTGATTGACCCCGGAAAGGGCCAGAATCTCGGTCTGGGATGGGGAATGACGCACATCCGTGCCCGATGAGGCTATGACTTGTTCATGCATCTATAGGCTGTTGGGGGGGGGGAAGAATGGGGTTTCATAATTACATTAATTCTTTTTTGGGGGGAAGGACTTCATGGGGTATACTGTAGAGGTCGATCATCCGCCTAATCATGTGAGGCGCTATTGAGAATTGAGCACTCCAATAATTTCCCCAGTCCGTAATTGAGACCTGAGATTCTGGACCATGGTGGAGCTGACGTTCCAGCGGTGAGAAGAGGAATTCCCCCTATACAGGAGATACAGGAGATACAGATACAGAAGATACAGGAGAAATTCAGTATACATTAACCGCCATTGGCGCAATCCATGCGGTGAAGGGCTCTCTCGTACAATTATGAGGGAGTTCCTATGCATTTCCCGCACACAACTGACTGGATTGACTGGATTGACTGGTTCACTGACTGCATTACTGCATTACTGCCTGTACTGCAGTCAAGCTATTTGAGGAATGGCTGACTCATCATTATTGGCGTAATCTTACATGTCTCCTGAAGCCCTAGTAACAACCTCAGCTCACTGACTGGCTGCCCTACTTTGCTTCTCCCCCCTATCCGCCAATGATTCAGCTCCATGGCGTAACTTACCAGGCACCAAATACGTCAGGGATCCATTCCCGAGCTGTGTTCCCCAGAGTGTAGATCGGGAGCTCGTCCTATACAAAAAGCAGTGTCGTCGCCCTCGCTGAACATCATCTCCAATCCATAATCCACCCAACAACTCAACTAATTGCCGTCGTTTTTTTTTTGTCTTTCTTCCTCTTCGTGTCTCTATATATATATATCTATCTATCTTGTCTATTCTTTTATCTCATTTGCAGTTCAACACTGCGCGCTCCTCACGCCGTTTAACGCCTATACATACCTCTTTTACTACCTCTTCTATCCCTATCTCGACCCGGGACCACCTCTTTAATATCATTAATATCTATCTCTCTTTCTCCTTCTCGTCAATTCATCATGCCACACAAAGTCAACGACTCCAACTCCACATTAGCCAGCAGAGGCAGCGGCGACCAAGTGGTAGCCACGGAAGTGCGGAATTTGAGTACGTCCAGGACCCCCCCCTGTCTCCGATCTCCAGATCCCTAGGCTAATCCCCAATAGCAGCCAATCCCGTCCGCAAACCCCCCGTCATCGTCCATAACAAGGGTGGCCAGATCTACGACGAGACACGGCCATCCGACTGGGACAAGCAACGCTGGAAATAGGCGTCTGTCTCCCTGATCCTCCGGGAGCATAATGGGCTGAAGCATGGACGGCGATCGGAAGATAATCGGACAATTGAAGCTCTGCAGCTCCCGAGGCGATCAGGCTAAGCAGAGGCCAGACGCGGCACACGCCAAAAGTGAGGCGATGGGGATTCTCTCCCCTTTCTTTCACCGCTTCAACTTCAACCCCTGGAATCCTCATTGCCTCGCCAACAGATCCTTGCTCTCCCCGGATTTTGGCCTTTTCTCCACTGTACCATTATTGGAGTTCTGCGGGCGTTTTGATTGGTCTGCTTTTTTTATCGCTTTTTCGACTCTCCTCTCGACTTCCCGATTTCCCGACTTCCCGACTCTCCTTGGGACCCTTTGGTCCTTGTCTATACTTTCCTGTCTACGATCTCCCCTCCTTTCTTCCTTGTCGTTCTCCTTTCCTTATACCTACCTTTTACCTGTTTACCTTTTTACCTTCTCCCTTCTCGATCTCGCCATGGGTCACTCCTGACACTAGACGTGTCTGCTGTCGGCATGGAACCTTGGCTGCTGCAAGGTTGTGCTGGCAGTGGGGCTCTCGAATGGATGGATTCGACCTGTTTCTTTTGTACTTGTTAGTTACGATGCATAGCGTGGGTTATCGGATCTACTGGATCTGGGTTTTCTTTTTTGATTGCAATGGAGCGAAATTGTATTCCTCGGCTGGAATGGCATTGTTTTGATTATCCTGGGTTACTTGACCTGAACTGAATTATTAGACCAATCAACAAGTCTGATTCGTGCCTTTATCAAGGACACATACACTATACTCTCTGTTTCAATCTAGGGCATTCTGTAATATCAGTAGACTGCGTGATTAAGGTTAAGGATGAGGTGGCTTTTGGTTTGGGTTGGAATCCAGGGTCTCCGACTTGGTTTCTGGGATGTTGGTGGTTTGAGCTTTTTCTCCTGTCGGATGAGATGGCCTTCCATATCAGGTGGTTTGAATCATCCAAGTGAACATGATTGATGTTTACTTAGACGTGGTTGGCCAGTATCATTGGAGAATTTAACGTAAACCTGGATTTTTTCTGAAGATCTATGCAAAATCCTTGTGAATATATATCCACCAACATATCATTTCACTACCAGCAATGTCGCAGACATCGACTCAGAGCTTTCTTTAATTCTGATTTGAGCAGTGTCAAGTTACTCCCAAATGACTTTGTCCTCTCATTTGGTCAATAAGAAAGAAGATTACCACCCACCTAAAACTAAAGATATCTATCTATGCTCAGATTTTGATCAGAAGCACCAGCATCACATCCAACACGAGAGAAACGGGAGACAATAGAAACAGTTTCAATCATTATTGAGTAATGATTCAGTGTACCCAACTAAGCCCAAAGGTCATAAGTTATAGTAAATGATGGGAGAGGGAGAGGGAGATTGTTAGCCCCATGTCTAACAATCATAAGAACACATACATTTCAGGTCATGAAGACTGGGTACTGCAACATCAAACTACCAGACAACCTACTGTACAACGCTACAAGGAACTACTCAATCTACGAAGAATCAAGTTCACAGAAAATGGGATACAATTCAAGACCAAACGGCGAATCTAACAACCCACTGCGAAATCCACACAAAGGATCAAAAAGACACCTCGCCACCGCGTCCCAGGGTAAAAAGAAAGGGACGGGTGGCTCTCGAGGGCTGTGTTTCAATGACTAGATACATAGGAAGAGGAGAGCAAAGGGAAAAGGAAAAAAGACATCCGAGCCGACAAAGGGAAAGCCGGCACTCGGATAGTCCTTTCCTCCCCAGAAGACATATAATTTTTTCCGGGTTTTCTCACTTTTTTTGCTTTTTTTGTGACCTCTGCAAATATTCCTTCAACGGTGAAGATGTCGAAGCTTCATTTCGTCTGAAGGGTATATTCGCGTTCGTGCTGCGTATTGTCATGGCAGACTGAACTGGCGGAGAGGCACATGAAAAACGATTTGTTTTTTTTTCTGAGGGGGAATGGGGGTACTTGGGGAAAGGGCAAGGGGGAAGGGGGATTGGGAGTGCGATTGGGGGATTGGCAAGGCAGCCATGCTGCTAAGGATCGTCGAGGGTAGGTGGTATCAAATAGCGCAGCGCCAACTGGCGCGCAGCGGGATAAGAAGGGCCGAGGAATGTGTGGTGTATTCCTTGACAAGAGAAGTGAAGATGAGCGCGATGAAGTGGTGGGGGAACAAGAACAAATAGTGCAGGAAATGCATTCTTAAAACAAATAAATCAACATGGCTCGCGCTCGCAATGCTAGATGGTCAAATCAAATGCAACTTTGACCCAAAACTGATTGGGTATTGGAAGCAAATGGGTATGCAATTTTTAGAACAGGAAGTGAAAGGGCTGGTCTCGGCTTCGGGGGCACCGAGGTCGAATGCAAAGCGTAAAAAGATGTATGATGACGCGGTCAAAATCGGGGATATGGCACAGGTCGACTGCACAGGGCGCATTGAATATTAGAAACAAGTATCGTGGTGAATCAATGCGAGAAGGGACACTCCTTGGAGGCCATGAGGTTGAGATGAAGAAGATGAACTGATGGAAATATGTGCAAGGACCAAATCACTTTTGGGTTGGCTTTTGCTTCCGTTGTCAGATTTACATCCCACCCGCATAGGTCTGGTCCATTCCCATGTGAGTCGGAGCAGCGGGGAAGTGTTGGAGGGCGGCGTGCTGAGCCATGTACAGCGCTTCTTGCTGTTGTTGATATGCTTCACTGTTCATGTATTGCATCTCAGCGGAAGGTGCTGGTGATGGCGAACAGCCGTGGGCAGTGGACATCCCGCGGGCCATGTCATGGTTTCCCATTTGTGCGTGAGCATGCACGAGGGCCTCGTTCTCCGGCGTGATGGGCGGAGTGAGGTACCCATGGGGAATAGCAGTCAAATGCGAAGACTTCTGAGGTGTTGCAAGGCCCATCTCCCCGTTGTAAGGTTTGGACTCGACAGGAGTCTCGACCGGAGGGGTGCAACGGGCATAGCTGGCCAAAGAAGCCTGGCGATTGAGGAAGTGCTCCATGACCTTGGAGACGCGCGAGTAGTGAGCCGAAGCATACTTGCGAGCAACGACAGTCGAAGGTTGGTGCAGCTGTTGAGACAAGGCTACAAGGGTCATCGAGTCGTACTGAGAAGCCCAGTGAGTGTGACGGGGCTGCGGTCGGTTGAGGATGCAGCGTGACAATGCTAGGGCAGCACGGGCGAGCTCGGAGGACTGCTTGGAGACGAAGTCTCGGTGGAACAAGGCGATCTCCAAAATGTACAAAGCCATGTGTTCCACTTCGGGGTCGTAAGCCTCATCCAAGACAGCGTGCTGCAGGAAAGCGTCGACGGTGGGATGTCCAATGGTCCAGCCAAGAGTCTGAAGTACATGCCATTCCATCTGAATGAACATGTCATCATCATAGAGCGAACAGCACATCGACTTCAATTCTTTGACAGTAGGAACGCGGTCTTTCTTGTCGTTGTACTTGGCCGCAATGAGCAAAGCTGCACAGCCAACCAGCTGGTAGTGACGCTTATAGACGACACGCTTGGAGCAGTATCG